TTCCTAGTTTATGTGCATAGAGTTGTTTGTAATAATCTCTGATGATGGTTTGAATTTCTGTGGAATCTGTGGTGATATCCCCTTTATCGTTTTTTATTGCTTCTATTTGATTATTCTCTCTTTTCTTTTTTATTAATTTGACTAGTGGTCTATTTTGTTGATCTTTTTGAAAAACCAGCTCCTGGATTTACTGATTTTTCCTAGGTTTTTTTTTTTGGGGGGGGTTTTATAGTTTGAGGTCTTACATGGAAGTATTTAATCTGTCTTGAGTTAATTTTTGTTTATACAAGTAGTGAGAGGTAGGGGTCCAGTTTCTTTCTTCCTGCATATGGTTAGCCAGTTTTCCCAGCACCATTATAGGGTGCCTATTCCCCATTGTTTATTTTTGTTGACGGTGTCAAAGATCATTTGGGTGTAGGTTTGGGTCTTTATTTTAGGCTCTCTACTCTGTTATATTGGTCTGTGTATCTATTTTTGTACCCGTACCATGCTGTTTGGTTACGGTAAACTTATAGTATAGCTTGAAGTCAAGTACTATGATGCTTCTGGTTTTATTCTTTTTGCTTAGGATTGCCTTGGCTATTCAAGCTCTTTTTTGTTCCATATAAATTTTAGAGTAGTTTTTTCTAATTCTGTAAAAAAAAAAAAAAAAACGATGTTGGTAATTTGATAAGACTAGTGTTGAATCTGTAGATTGCTTTGGGCAATATAGACATTTTAATGGTATTGATTTTTCCAACCCTTGTGCCTGGAGTTATTTTCTATTTGTGTTGTCTGTGATTTGTTTTAACAGTGTTTTGTAGTTCTCATAGATGTCTTTCACCTCCTTGATTAGATGTACTCCTAGCTGTTTTGTTTTATTTTATTTTATTTTAGTGGCTGTTGCAAATGGCATTGTATTGTTGATTTGGTTCTCAAGTTGAGCGTTATTGATATATAGGAATCCTGCTGATTTTTTGTACATTGATTTCGTATCCTAAGTCTGGTGAAGTTGTTTATCAGATCTAGGTGTCTTTGAGCAGAATCTTTAGATAATTTTACTTCCACTTTTCCTATTTAGACACCGTTTATTTCTTTTTTCTTGCCTGATTGCTCTGGCAAGGACTTTCAGTACTATGTTGAATAGCAGTGGTAAGAGTGGACAGCCTTGCCTTGTTCTTATGGAAAATGCTTTCATCTTTTGACTGTTCATATGATATTGGCTATAAGTTTGTCATAGATGGCTCTTATTACTTTGAGGTATGTTCATTCAATGCCTAGTTTGTTAGGAGTTTTAATTATAAAGGGATGTTGGATTTTATTGAATGCTTCTTCTGGTTCTATTGTGGTGATAATATGGTTTTTGTTTTAATTCTGCGTATGTAGTTAATCACATTTACTGATTTGTATACATTGAACCATCCTTGTATCCCAGGTGTTAAAGCCCACTTGATCATGATGAATTGATTTTTGATGTGCTGCTGGATTTGGATTGCTACTTTGTTGAGGATTTTCACATCTGTGTTCATCAGGGATATTGGCCTGTATTTTTCTTTTTCTGTTATATCATTGCCACACTTCGGTATCAAGATGATGCTGGTTTCATAGAGTAAGTTAGGGAGGAGTTACTCCTACTTGATTTTGGGGGGATAGTTTCAGTAGAATTGGTACCAGCTCTTCTTCATATGGCTGGTAAAATTTGGCTGTGAATCCATCTGGTCCAGGGATTTTTAAGTTTTTTATTTCTGATTTTGTTTGATTACTTGTTATTGATCTGTTCAGGATTTCTGTAAATACACTAGTCTTGAGGGGTTTTTTCCTACTTTTCTAACTGTTCCTTCTATTTCTCTTTGTCTTCACATCTCCTAATGTAGGGTGCTCCTTTTCTCCCAGGCACAAAAAAACAAATGCTATTTGGTTTGGGCCCCCAAAGTACCTGTCTCTTCATTTCTATCTCATACTTATATCCACTTTGGCTATGTGTATGTACCTGTTTCTCTCTTCTTTCCTTTTAGCCCAATTTAGGTCTTTATGTTTAAAGAATGATTTCCATGTAATGCTTTCTTCTACTTCTCACATCCCAGTGAACCTTCAATTGCCATAGTAAAAGAAGTTAACCTCCCCTTGCACCTTGAATTCCTCTATGTATCTGAGTAGTTGTCGAAGAGCATTCTCTTTACCTTACTACCTTTGAATACTGGTTTGTATTCTGTTATGAGGTGGTCAGTCCAGTGTGGCCATAATAGGAGTTCAGGGTGGCCATAATAGGAGACATCAGGAAAACAAAGTTTGTTATACTCACAGGTCCTAGAGACCGGAGGCACAGCACACAGTGCAGGGGTCACATGGGGAAGACATCAGGATGTTGAGGAGGCAGAATACAGGAGTGAGTGAAAGGTTTAGGCCACTACCTTTACTGGGGTTTCTGAAGGGGAATAGTTAGGCCATCACCATTTTGTGGTGGCATGATCATAGCTGGCTGCAGCCTCAAACTCCTGGGCTCAAAGGATCCTTCCTGCCTCAGCCTCTGAGTAGCTGGAATTAAAGAGGAAAGCCACCCACCAGCTCTAGGCCCCTACCTTTATTGCGGTTACTGTGGGAAAATCAGGACAGAGTAAACAGTTTAGGATTGGCTAATTTGAATAAATTTGGAGGACTTTGGGACCACTTAGGGGTGGTCTCTAGTTGCCTGGTAACTGGCCCTAGGATGAAGGCAGAATATTGCCTCTAGAGTCTGACTGAGGAAGTATGGCTCTAGATTAGTTGGTTTGTGTATCAAAGACATGCTTCTGGCTGGGCCCTTTGCTATCTCCAGGAATTGACTAAACCTGGAAAGGGCAGTCTCTCCCCAGCCAGAAAGGTTTTTATGATGTCAAAATATCATAATATATTAAAAATGTAAGAACATTTTACAATACAGAGGCCATACCTTCAGCTCATCCTCCCACCAGAGGCAGAGCCAGGGCACTTAAATATTATTACCAGAGACCATTGTACCAGTGATACTAGAAATCAATCTAGTGCTTTGCGACTTTGTTAGCATTTTTATGGCAACTTGAAAGGGGAACCAGTATATAGAATTTTCACAAACTCCATGGGAGTGGAATATTTGGTTCTGGAAGACTTCCTATTAGTAGTGTGTTAATCTTTTAAGTGCTTGTCTCTGTTTTTCAAATTCTCATATTCTTTTAGCCTTGTTGATTTATATACTATATCTTGAGCATGTTTCTCCAGTGGTGAACAATCTCTGTTTTCCTCCAGTTTTATTGAGGTATGATTGACAAAATAATCTAATATTGTACTATCTTAAAATCGTCACAACGGTAATGATATGCTGCATAGGGATAGAGAAAACAAATAATGATAAAACACACAACTACAACTTTAAAATAGTGAAACTTCTATGTGTGACTTATGGAAGTGACTCTGATTACTTGACTAGAATGTTGTGGAAAAAAAGAAAAAATAAAGGTGACTCTAATTACATTTTATTTTCATGCAAGTTTTCAATTACTTGACACAAGCAAGCACTCTTAATTTTGCTAACTATATATGTCTAAGTAGTTCTGGAGTTTTCTATTTGTGAAAGACTTTAGGAAAAAATAGAAGCGATTTTATGAATTTTTAGAAAGTGAAATATTTATACATATCTTTTATAATTATCTCCAGGAAACAGGGCTCTGGTTCATGTGATATACCTAATTATTCATTCTTATTTAAGTAATACTGCTGCCAGAAGTTAGGTTGTGTATATTGCCAGACGTTAGCACTGTCTTAGAAACACTGCTGTAAGGTTCTAACTTTGTGCTCTCCTGACTGGTCTGCTCTGGATGTGTGTGCACACATATGTGTAAGGATGGGAAGTTGGGGTGTATGAGTGGTAGGAAATGGAAGTGTAGAGCCATATCCATGGTCTAGACAATTCTTACAGATTCCTGTGGCCTGTTATATTTTATTCAGTACATGATGCTCTGGCTTTTTCCAAGTAATAACTGGATATAGCAATTTGAAAACAATGTATTATAATTCCTTAGAAAATATTTCTGTGTATAGAGTGGCATGTCTTTCCATAAATTAGCCCTATTCTAATATCAAATCACAGCAGAAGTGGTTAAAAAGCACTCACATTTTTCCTTTTTTTTTTTTTTTTTTTTGTGTGTGGGGGACAAGTTTTAGCTCTGTTGCCTAGGCTGGAGTGCAGTGGTGTGATCTCATTGCAACTCCACCTTCTGAGCTCAAGCCATCCTTCCCCAGCCTCCAGCGTAGCTAGGACTTCAGGCAGGCATCACTACACCTGGCTGATTTTTTTTTGTAGAGACAGGGTTTCACCATGCTGCCTGGGATGGTCTCGAACTCAAGAGCTCAAGCCATCTGCCCACCTCAGCCTCCCAAAGTGCTGGGATTACAGGCATGAGCCGTTGCGCCTAGCCTGGCATAACATTTTGAAAAATATAATTACAGCAGAGCCCTTGCTAATGAGGTACATGCAGCAATCTTAGTTTAGGATTAAAGGAATTAGTACAGCTATTGTTTTCTTTTTGCTTATCATGTATAAGGTTGCTTTTTACCATCAGATTGCTATTCATTAAAGTGTTAATAATAAATCTTTCTTGCTCCTGGCAAAGTCATCAGTGAATTTCTTCTGTCTAAGCCACATATCAAGTAAGATGAAAATAGAAGAGAGCCTCGAGGTCTCTTTGAACACTGTTCCTATGCTGGCTGCTCCAGTCACTGCATTCACATCTGACTTTTCACACACCATCTTATGATTGTAATTTATTATTTATTTTTTTGTTTCTGTTTCTTAAGCTTTATCAGTGTTTGTGTACTTGTCATGCAGCCCTGCTTTTAGAGGAGAAACCATTTTACTATGTTTCCTTTCTTTTGAATCCCTTCCCCTTGGAGGTGCTTAGAAAAGTGCTTATGCAAAATAGGTGCCTAATGAATGTTGGGAACTGAAATCTAGTGCTTTATTTCATTTATTTCTTTTAATAGTTCTAATTGTTTTGCTTGCTTTCCAGGCACACAAACCAATGGTCTGGACTTTCAGAAGCAGCCTGTGCCTGTAGGAGGAGCAATCTCAACAGCCCAGGCACAGGCCTTCCTTGGACATCTCCATCAGGTAGGAATGTTCTGCTCAACCATCAGTGAGCGTGAAAGAGGCATAAAATGCTAGGGCCTGAGGAAATTATTTCAGAATGTGGGGCCTTTAAACTTACTTAAAGCCTAGTGCTAATTATGTATAATTGTGTCATTCTGTTTGGTTAGTATGAAATCCTATAGTTTAATTGAGTGCATAGTCATTGACCCCACAGGTGTGTGGGAAACAAAAGAATTTCTTGTGAATGGAATGTGTATAACAACTGGTTTGCTGTTTTTATAAGTGAGAATCTGTGGTGGCTACCTGGTGGTAGTCAATTATCAGTCAAAAAAGATGTAGCTACCATTGCCTGAGACTGGCTGTATAAGGCTCTGAGCTCCAAGCTCATCTCTGTCCTCTAAAACAGTTTCAGACCATGATAGTTAATTTGGGCGACTACTCAGAGGCTTTGCTTGACTGTAACCCTCAACCCCTATTTTGAGGTTCAGAAGACTGCCACAACTTTGTTACCCTGTTCACAACATTTTTTTCCCTGGGTCTAAAACAGACCATGAATTCTGTTCATTCATGTTTTAGCTATAATATAGAGGGAGCAGGAATAAAAAAATACAAACCCTAGCTACTCAGTAGTTTGGGATATGGAAGCTGGTTGAAAATGGAAAACAGAGAAAACAGTTGGGAGATAGATTATCAGATAGATATAATGTCTCAACCTCTTGATTTATGTCCACAGTTATATATTGGAGCAATATTTTGGTGGTCTATAGCTCAGTTAAAACCTAGAACTAATTTAACATGCAAAATGTGTTGATAGTAATGGTGCTAGCAGTGGTGCCTAGTGATGGTGGTGGTAGTGATTCAGTGAAAAACCCATGTGAACATAAGACCTCCAAGGTAACATATTAACATATTAAGTTACTGAATCTTACTAAAGTCTTTTCATCAAAACATGTCATCAGACCACCTAAACTATAAAAGAAGCTCTTCTACTTGAAAACAGGTAAAATTCTGGAATGCTGTTCTAAAGCCCATTTGTTTGTTCACAGACTCAAAGAGATATCATGTAGGCCGCAGTTAGCATCTTCTGTTAGAGTGAAGCCTAATGGAACACTTTTGCCTAGGCACGTAGCTTTTTTTGTATCTTTGAAATGGAAAAACTTCGATATTAACTTCCAGATAAAATATTAAGATGAATTAACATCTAAAATGAGTTAAATATATATTTTAAAAATATATCCTAGAAGAAAAAAAAAGTTTTGTGTTGATTTTTTTTTTCTAAGAACATAGTCAAGGCTCCAATAATTTTTCTGGGTCCTAAGAGGAATAGAATTTTTGACAGAGTTTAATCAATTATTTGGCACCTAATAAGCCCCTTTTTCTGGCTTAAATATGTGATGGTCCAAATGTATTTTTTAAAGTCCCTGAGGGTGCACAGATGATGTGCAGTATTCTCCCCACTGGGTCCAAATTCAAAGATGGTTGCAACTCTCCGGGGGTCAGATCCAAGACCCCTACATCTAGCCATTGATTACCAAAATCATAGACCCTTCAATACCACCCAGACCAAAGGAGTGCAAACCAAAGAATTTTATTTGAAATTGTGACACCATTGAATCTCCCATCAAGACACAAGTCCTTGCATCTGATTAGATAATTAACAGTGTTATACTTGCCTTCTATTTCCAGCCTCCTTGTTGGCAGAATTAGCACCTTGAACCTTTCCTTACCATAATTATAATATACATACACAAAATAGATGGTTTTAGGTCTGTTGCCTCGTTAACTATAAGTTCCGTGAAAATAGATACTTTTTCTTGTTTACCTATATCCCCAGCATTTACCAAAGAGCCCCATAATACAACAGGTGTTCAGTAATTATTTGTTGAATAAATTAATAGATGACCAAGTGGTCAAATATAAGACTACTGAGGAAGAAATGACTAGCTTAGCCTGTACAATCTGAGACTTTTCTCTCAGGGTGATTTTTGAGCTGAGTCTTGAAGGGTGTTGGAAACTAGCTAAATGGAGTGGTAAAGTAATGCTCTCGTTTTTTGATTTTTAACTTCCTATTTTAAAATCTTTCAAATCTATAAGAGTTACAGCAGTAGAATAGTGTTCATCTGGAAAACCTTCACTTGGAATCATCAATTTTTACTATTTTACCATATTTGCTTTATACCATATGGGTTTATGTGGATATGTATGTGTGTACACATAAAAAATACATTTTGCTTTTACCATATGTGTATGTACACGTAAAAAATATATTTTTTAATGGGGTCTCATTATGTTGCCCAGGTTGATCTCCAACTCCTGAGCTCAAGTGATCTTCCTGCCTCCCATGTAACTGTGATTATAGGCATACACCATGGCACCAAGCCAAAAAAAATTTTTTTGGCAACTCCTTTGAAAGTTGCGGATATTAACCATTTACTTCTAAATACTTCAGCATGTTTTTTCTAAAAATAGCATTCTCTTATAAAACTACAGTGCAAATTTCAAATTCCAGAAACTTAACATTGATGTGATATCATTTTCTAATATTGACCCATAGTTATATACTTTCTGCCCACAATCCAGTTCGTACTTTGTATTTAGCTGTCATGTCTGTTAAGTCTTCTTTAATCCAGAACAATTCCTGAGCCTGTCTTTGTCTTTCATGATATTGACATTTTTTAAGAATAGAGGCCAGCTGTTTCATAGAATACCCCTATAACTTGAATGTGTTTGATTGTTCCCTCAACAGCTAAATTCAAGTTATGCATTTTTTAAAGGAATACAACGCAAGTGATGCTGAGACTCTCGGTGCATTCAGAAGGCATATAGTATTGCTTTGTCCCATTATTGTGATATTAATTTGGATTATTTTATCAAGATAGTGTTTATCAGATTTGTCCACTGTAAATATGTCTTTTTGCCTCCTGGTAGGTAATACTCTGTGAGACACTAGTTTAAAGGCTGTGTAAATATCCCGTTCCTCAACAAACTTTTAACCTGAAACATAAGCAAAATCACATAAAATTTTATCTTCTTCAAATCTTTGTACCTGAAGCTCTTTCCCTGGGTTCTTTGACTTCTTAGGCTGTAGGTCTTAAACATATTATCTCTTCAGATAGGCCTCCCCTTATTACACTATATTTTAAATGTGTTCTATATACATCTTCAGATTTTGTTTTTTGTTTTTGTGTTTAGGGTTCTCATCTACTAACGGGACTAACAGTTTCAAATAAAAGACATAGCAATCAGTTCCTTTTAGCCCTAAACTCTTTATCGAGCTCCATACCAACATTTATATTTAATTTCAGGACATGATGTTATTTGGTATATCCAGAATGGAACTCATTATCTTCTCTGTCCCTGTTAGTGGCACTGCCATTTTCCAGTTGCCCAGATTTGAACCCTGGAATAATTCATGACTCTCTTTTTTTCATTTAAATCCAGTCAGGATTCTTATGTAGTTTGTTGTGGAGCCTTTCATGTTTCCTACTTTTTACTTCCACTGCCACCATTCTAGTTTAGTTTTTCATTTATTCTAGCCTAGTTTATGTTCTCTTTTTCCCTTCTCAGTCTCTTTGTTTCAGGACATTGGCATTTTTGAACAGTATACACTAGTTATTTTGTAGTGTTTCTCAGTTTGGGTTTGTCTGACTTTCATCATGATTAGATACAGATTCTGTACTTTTGTTAGGGACGCAGCATAAGCAATGCTGTATTCTTCTCACTGCATCATAGCAGAAGGCATGTGTCTCCTTCCTGGTGACTCTCATTTGTACTCACTTGATTATTTGTCTGCCAGGTTTCTCCACTAAAAAGATACTATTTTACCCTTTCTAAGAATTAAGTATCATTGGAGACATAGTTGAGAAAATGTAAATATCCTGTTACTCCTCAGGTATCACACCCATTAGTTATCCATTGATGACTGCCTAAATCAGTTATTTTCTTAGTTGCCAAATGATGGTTTTCTAATTCCATGTGTGTCCTTAATTTCACATAACCATGATTTGAACTTTCTGAATGTATGAAATGTATTAAATGTTTTGACAGACTTTTATGTGTGGTTTATAAGATAGATTTCTTATTTCAGCTAAGAGTTTTAAGTTAAGATTATAAATGTTTTAAGGACTTGACTGTGTGGATGTGTATATATATTTCTACTCTGGTGTATATATGGGAAATTTGAAATTATTTTAATTATGTAGATGGTTCTGATTGTTTCTAATAATAAACAATGTAAATAGATAGCTTGTTCTTATATGTTCTTTAACACTGTGGAAGATTAAATTTTTAGAATCTAAGCATTCTGTGAAGACAAAAGAATGTTATGTAAGGAGCGTTCAGTACAAGTGTGGCATGGCTGATAATATTCATTTAGTGTGGGAAGACATCTTCAAAAAAAGATTAACAGCATTTTTCTGTGGTACCAGTGGGGGTGGGGTGGGATGGGCTGAGAAGGGACTGAGTTTGTTCATAAAGTTTTAACTCCTTAAGACAATCCTCTGTCTTCTCAGTTCTAGCTCGGTGACTCACAGTAGGCTTAATATTCAGTGATGACAACCCCTTGTGATGAATGTCAAGAGTATTAAACTAGAACTTCCCCTGATTACTTGTAGGTCCAACTCGCTGGAACAAGTTTACAGGCTGCTGCTCAGTCTTTAAATGTACAGGTAAGCTGGGACCTGGGATTAATGGGTCAATCTTTTATTTATTTATTTATTTATTTATTTATATTTTTCTAATTTTCTATAGTGAGCATATATTTTATAATAGGAAATGCTTAGTATTACCTTTTAAAATTAGTGAATCTTATGAAGATTCAAATAGTAATTATTGCCATTAATGAAAATCAGTTTAATATCCTGCTACTGTATGAACCAAAGATGGACGGGAAAAGTCTACTTTTAAAGTTTTATGTATAAGTTCAATAAAAATGTTTCTAAGTCATACTGCTGTAACACATACCTAAATACACAGCATAAAAGTTTTCTTAAATGCCCATTTGTTTCCAAAAGGCTTGTTCTTTGTCATTTTTGAAGCCTTAGGGAGACCTCATAGGGCAGAGGAAAGAACACTGGACTGAGACACAAGGGTCTTAGGTTTGCATTCTCATTCTGCCACTGACCAACTGTGTGACCTTTGGCAAGTCACTTAACCTCCTTAGGCTCAGTTTGTCTCATCTATACTTAAGTGGGGACATTTATAAGATTGCCAGGGTTCCTCTCCATGCTGAAATGTTACATTTCTAATAATTATAATTAAACCTATATGTAGATATTGGAAGATAGACAGTCAAAATGTTAAAATAAAACTTAAATCTAGCCGCTCTCCTTCTTTGAACCATGTGGCAAAACATGACAAAGTTCAAGTGTTAGGCATTACTCTCTAAAATTTCAATCAACCTGCTGCTTCCTTTCATTGTAGTGTGTAGGTAACCAGCAGTCAAGAGGGAAAGATAGTATTATGGAAGATTTATTTCAGTGTTGCTAATGACTAAAGACCTTGGGTTGAAACCCAGTTGAATATGGACGTAGTAACACGTGGGAACAAGGATAGAAAAGAAAAAGAGACAATGTGACCTTACTTTCTGAGGGAGAGGAGGTAGAAAATTGCCTTGGTTGCCATGGTAAACTTTCATCCCTTAGAGAGATGTTGGCAAACAGGCTGTATCTCCAGTGCAGAATGTTTACAGTGCTGCACTGTAATTATCTCTCAATGACTGGCAGAATTAATCAGAGCATTTATGTTAATTAGCCTTGCTGCAGTCCCTAAAACAGGTGGTGGGAAATATGCAAATCTATGCAGAATTTTAATGTTTTGCATAACCAGTTTTAATTATCATAAAATTTTCTCTTCGTGCCCCTCTTTCTTGACTGCAGCATTTTCTCTCTGAGCTTGTGTGTTAGTTGATGGGAGTTGCTAGATTTATCGTTCTGTAAAATATTAAGTGGAGAGTTCCGTGAATCAAGTGATAATTCTCTGAGATGTTATATGGAGAAGTTTCAGAAAAGCTACCAGGTGTATGTTAAAATGTTGATATGGAAGGTCTAATATAGAGATGGATGGAGAATGTATTCTTCCCTTTACCCCCTATCTAGAGTTGAGGAACTGGGGGATATGACAAAAAAATCTTTTACTTTTTTGGGGATGACTGAGTATTTCTTTTTAAAAATTGTAATAGCAGCTTTGTCAGCACTGGAATAAAAAATCTAAAAACTCAGTATGTGAAACTAGAACTCATGACTGAATAAGCCCATGTTTTAAATGATTCCTAAAAGATGGGGTTTTAAGTACCTTTCTTTTAATCAACTGTTTGCAATCTTTTATTTCCCACCCCACCCCACCCCACCTCAGTCTAAATCTAATGAAGAATCGGGGGATTCACAGCAGCCAAGCCAGCCTTCCCAGCAGCCTTCAGTGCAGGCAGCCATTCCCCAAACCCAGCTTATGCTAGCTGGAGGACAGATAACTGGGGTAAGTGTTCACTGAGAGAATTATAATAAACTTTGTCTGGGTCAGAACTGCCATTGGCCAATGTCTGATTAGAATTGTTCACCGTAGCTGGCAGTAACATGGCTGTGCCTGGCACTGTTGTGTCTTTAAGGAACTTCCTACACTATAGGTAGTAAGTTGCTCTAAAAAAGGAATTATCTTTGTTGTAAGTTTTCAGGATATCTTTTATGAGAATTGTGGGTGCTTTGAATAAATTAAAAACTTCATTAAACTCCCATTTCAGGTGTTGCTTCATCATGCAATGGAATAATTATCATATAGCTGAGATCATCAAACTGATAAAATGGCAGTTGTCCGTTTGGCGTTAAGACATCACTGCAGGGTAGAAGTTAAAGAATGGATTAGGCCTGCAAAAGAAAAACATTTTTCTTTAAGTTACTATGTAGTAGTCTAAAATAAAACATGTGGTGGCTTCATGTCCTAGCTCTGCAACTTATCGTATGGCCCAATTACTTCATTTCCCTCTACTTCAGTTTTCCCTGTATTAAATGGTGATGCTAATAATACCGTTACTGTTGTAAAGATTGGAGATAATACATACAAAGCTTACAGAACAGTGCTTGGCAGGTAGCGTTCAACAAATGTTCTTTTTTTTTTTTGAGATGGAATTTCTCTCTTGTTGCCCAGGCTGGAGTGCAGTGGCGCAATCTCGGCTTACTGCAACCTCCACCTCCCGGGTTCAAGTGATTCTTCTCCCTTAGCCTACAGGCAAGCGCCACCACACCTGGCTAATTTTGTATTTTTAGTAGAGACGAGGTTTCTCCATGTTGATCAGGCTGGTCTCCAACTCCTGACATCAGGTGATCTGCCCACCTAGGCCTCCCAAAGTGCTGGGATTATAGGTGTGAGCCACCATGCCCGATGGCTTATACTTTATTTTAAATGCTTGATCTTAACCAAAAGGCTGAGAAGGTCTGTCATTTATTTTTTATTGTTAATAAATTGGCCTGTGTGACTATATTAAGCTTTTAAGTTTTCAACTGTCTTTTCTCTAAGGCACCATTCAGAATATTTTTCCAATGTTTAAAATTTGTACATTAAATTATCTTTGTGGGGATTAGTTTAGGACAATATAAGAAATAGTTATTATTCAATTCACATCACATTAACTCCCAAGAATTTTCTGGGGATGTTGTTGCTTTTTTGTTTGTTTGGTTGTTTGTTTTCATTTCAGTTAGGTGTGTTTTGTCAGTGGACAACTGTTTTAAGAACTGTTGCAAAATTATTTACAAAATCCCATCAGTAGAGATGTATGTATATACATGTGTATTGTATAAAAATTAAAATATGTATCTATACTTTATATACACATATATCCCTTGAAAGGGTATTGAGTTTTCGAAGGGTTTGGTTTTGAGCCTGATGTTTCTAATGCACAAATTGTGTTCGATTCTTTTAGAGGAGGTTGGGGCACTAAGTGACTGTACATATACTTCAGAAGATTACAGTTCCATCTTGTTTGATCAATCAGAATATGTCACCAAAAGAAAAGCAGAACACACTTACTACTTTTATTTAAGTGTGTTTGAAATAAGTTGCATTATGAAAGCAAGTTTACATATGCTGTAAATACATCTACTTTACTATTTAGGTCTTGTTTTTGGTGACTAGTGTCTACAATAGTAAGAGGCACTTGGGATTCTAGGTTCTTGTGCCTGGAGCTTCTATTAAACCTGGGCATTAGGGTTCATTTGCATGTAAAGAGAGCGGCAGTCACCACCTGTTTCATAGAGATAATGTGTTGGAAAGGAGATGTAAAGTTGCAGAGACTCAGTGCTTTCAATAACAGAAAAGATTGTGTTAGGGAGGGGCCTGTAGGGAGACTTGGAAAAGAAACAAATGGAGCTCATATTCTTTAGTGATATCTTTGGACATAATGGAAATGATGGAATATGGCAGGGATTCATGCTAATGGGAAGCAGCTGGGCCTTATCAGTTCTTTCCTTGGTTATATCCAGCATCCCTGTTCCTCATTCATCTGACTAATCACTTGCTCTTTGGTTGGGTGTAAATTTCTTTTCATATCCTGTCAGCAGTGATGCTTTTTTTTTTTTCTTACATACTAGTTAATTACTTTTTTGCCCAAACGCTAGGGCCCTGCACAAGCTTGAATGATTAAGTCCAGACTGGGGACCACCATTTTAATTTAAATGTTCTGCTAGTAATGGTAGTTTGATCACTGATGAACATTTTAGCTGTATGCTAAGCATGTGAAGTTGGGTAGCTGGGGAATAATATAATTTGAGTTACCTATTTCAAAGCAGTTGGCTTGCATTAGGAGACTTTCTCCTTCAACCCTTTCCCATTATGTGTTCTGATTTTGTTTAGCTTACTTTGACGCCCGCTCAGCAACAGTTACTACTCCAGCAGGCACAGGCACAGGCACAGCTGCTGGCCGCTGCAGTGCAGCAGCACTCCGCCAGCCAGCAGCATAGCGCTGCTGGGGCCACCATCTCCGCCTCTGCTGCCACACCCATGACACAGATCCCCCTGTCTCAGCCCATACAGATCGCACAGGTGAGTGAGGAACTGTAGTAGCTGGGGCAGCAAGTGAGGAATAAAGTGGCAGGTTTTATGTAATGTTAAATTAACTTTTGGATTGTTAGTGTGGGGCCTTAAAGGCCTGAGGAGCTCTAGATCAGTGAGGTAAGCAGTACCCTTCCTTACCACTGAATTAGAAATAATGTTTGTTTGCTTATTTGAGTTGATATTATAAACATATAGCTGATTATTTGAATAACTGACTATATTAAGGGACAATTCTTGAATAATTAGCTGGCATATTTTTGAAGCAGGGGATTACTGTATTTATTTTAATTAGCTAATTACAGCAGACATGGATTTTTTTCATGTGCTCTGCAGTGAATGTTGCCACCCATGTGTGAGAAAGACAGTGAGTCATCTCTGCTTCGGAGTGATTAGCATTATGCCAAACATTATTGCATCAGAATGTTGTTTGGATTCAGTTTTCACATTTTAGGTCAAAGTATCTAGAGATAATAAAAATTTATTTAAGGAGCATACACAGTAGTACCAAGGAGGAAAATAAATAAAATCCTTTATCTCAAGAAGAGGAAAAAGGTATAAGTAGTTATATCAGTAAGCTATGTGAAGAGTTATTATGAGTCAAATTGTTTGACAGCTGTCTTTATCCCCCTCAGAAAAGACTCAGAAATGGACTTGTAGCAAGTTTTATTACCTATTTAAAAAGAACTAAATAACTATAAGAGTAGAGAATAGATATCAGGTCAATCTTTATTATATATAATCTTTATCTTTAAAGATTATATGTATATGAATATATATATTATATATAATATGTAAATATATATTATATATTTATAATTTATATATATTATAATTTATAAATTTATAAATTATAATATATATAGTATATATTTATATACTATATGTATTTATAAGTATAAATATATATAAATCTTTAATAAAAGATAATAGTTTTATTTTGGCCACTTTCTCATCACCAAATAAATGTTTTTAGTGCCTAAGCTGTGAGACCCCATGTTAACATTAGTCTAAATAAGATAACATACATGAAAACACTTTGAAAATTATAAAACAATAGGCCAATGTAAGGTGCTATCGTTGTTATGAATCACATTTTTATTTGGACAGCTATTTTTTGTTTTAAAAAATTGAATATGTGGAAAGGGGCAAAAAAATTGAATACTGATTTCTCAGTTGAGTTAGATAAGCTGTTGTCAAATGTCAAATCATCATAGGTTCTTTAATTTATTGATGGAAATTCAGATATAAAACTCTCAATTTTTATTTAAGAGAAAAATCAAATATTTAAAAAGTCTTTTCTCACTTGATTTTAAGACCCATATTGGTGTCTACATGATAAAAAGCAGAAGTATATTTGTTCTGAGGGAATTTTAAAGAATCATTGAAAATTAGGCTTAGTATAGTAATATATGTCAGTCCACAAAAATAGTAAGTTACAGAAGCTCCAGGTTGCTTCACATGCTGTGTCAAGCACACACAGAGCATGTCCTGTTTGGAATATGAAAGCATGCTAAGTATTTATTCTTCTTTGTTTGTATGTGATAGAATTCATCAGCTGGAAGCCTTATAATTAAGCAAACTTTTATTTCAGAATCTCCAATCCATGTTTTAATTTCCATTTTTCAGGATCTTCAACAACTGCAACAGCTTCAACAGCAGAATCTCAACCTGCAACAGTTTGTGTTGGTGCATCCAACCACCAATTTGCAGCCAGCGCAGTTTATCATCTCACAGACGCCCCAGGGCCAGCAGGGTAAGCTCCTCCTTAGAGCTTATTAGTGGTACACCAAAGCTGTTCACTGAATGTGACACATGCATGGACTACTGTCATTTTGGGCCTGAAACTGTCTGTTAGAACAATATTTTAATTGCATTTTATTTTATTATAAACTTTTGTTAAAAATTTTTTTTTGTTATAAATACCACATTATTGAAGGTTGCCCTGAACTGCCATTCATCTGCTTAATCATTAAGGAAGATTCAAGAGTGTGGCCAAAAGTCAAAGTGAAATTATTCAACATGCTAAACATAAATTGGATAAGTTACTGCTGGTGTTTTGATTGGTTTTCATGGAAATGTATTCAAAGAATATAGACTGTTGAAAGTATGTGCTTCTTGCCATTGTGTTTTAAATTTAAGGAGGAAAGAATTTTATATTAGAAACTACAAATTTTGTGAGTTATAAAAAACATCTTTGAGTCCTTTGAGTGGTAAATATTATATAATTAATGTATTAAGCCACCCGTGTGTAAGGTCGGTGTCAGAGTATCAGTGCTTCAACCCAAGGAACATTAGTGCATCTCTACCATTCTTTATTATTTCTGGGTGGGGTTTTTTGCCTTTTTTCTTCTTGATCATTAATTCCAAAATCTTTCGTCATGAAATAATTATTCTAGCATATGTTCAAGATTCAAAGATGAGTAATTCAGTTTTTACCTACAGAGGGCTCACAATTTAGTGGCAGGGAAACAGACCTATTATAAGTGTTAGACTTGATATGCACAGATTGCTATGGGAACTAAGCAAAGAGACCCCTGTACCTTTGTGTTCAGATAAGTCTTCACGGTGAATTTGGGAGAATGCATTCATAGTCTTACAAAAGAGAGAATGTCAGTCTTGGAAAATGAACAGCATTTGCAAAGCTTAGAAACATGGAAGAAAAATCAATAAACTGTGTTTGAGAACTATAAGTAGTGCCTTACAACTGCAGAATAAGTTTCCACATACAGGTAATAGTGAAATTTGAGCCCAGAAAGATTAGCAGAGACCAGATCATTAAAAAACCTTAGATTAAGTTTCCAGATTTTGACCTTAACTCCTGTAGCTTAGTGCTTCCTAAGATTTGATTTATTTAAGAATGACTTGAGGAATTAGAAAAGTTTCCTGAGCCCTAACCCCAACCCCACCCCCCATTATTTTTATTTTTATTTTCAAACATTTAGGTTCAGGGTTACACGTGCAGGTTTGTTATGTAGATAAATTAAATGTCATAGGGATTTGGTGTATGGGTTGTTTCATCACTCAGGTAATAAGCATAATACCTGATAGGTAGCTTTTTCATCCTCACCCTCCTCCCACCCTCTACCCTTAAGTAGCCCCACGTGGCTATTGTTCCCTTCTTTGTGTCCATATGTGCACAAGGTTTTATGGGGGCATAGTATTCCATTGTATATATGTACTGCATTTTTAAAATCCAGTCTACTGTTGATGGACATTTAGGTTAATTCCATGTCTTTGCTATCGTGAATAGTGCAGCAGTGAACATACACATGGGTATGTGTCTTTATGGTAGAAAAATTTATATTCGTTTTGATATATACCCAATAATGGGATTGCTGTATCAAATGATAATTCTGTGTTCTTTGAGAAATGGCCAAACTACTTTCCATAATGGCTTAACTAATTTACATTCCCACCAGTAGTGTATAAGCAGTCACTTTTCTCCACAACCTCACCAACATCTGTTATTTTTTTAGGGATTTGTTTTGTTTTACTTTGTTTTGTTTTGTTTTTGTGAGAGACAGAGTTTTGCTCTTGTTGCCCAGGTTGCAGTACAATGGTACCATCTTGGCTGACCGTAACCTTTGCCTCCCAGGTTCAAGCGAGTCTCCTGCCTCAGCCCCCCAAGTAGCTGGGATTACAGGCATGAACCACCACACCCAGCTAATGTTGCATTTTTAGTAGAGAGGATTGCTCCATGTTGGTCAGTCTGGTCTTGGCCTCCCAGAGTGCTGGGATTACAGGTGTGAGCCACCGCTCCTGACCTTGAGTTTTTAATAATAGCCATTCTGACTCGTGTGAGATGGTATTTCATTATTGTTTTGATTTGCATTTCTCTAATGATTAGTGATGTTGAGCATTTTTTCATATACTTGTTGGCTGCATGTATGTCTTCTTTTGAAAAGTGTCTGTTCATGTCCTTTGTCCCACTTGCTAATGGGGTTGTTTTTTGTTGTAAATTTGTTTAAGTTCCTTATAGATTCTGGATATTAGACTTTTGTTGGATGCATAGTTTGCAAATATTTTCTCCCATTCTGTAGGTAGTTTCTTTTGCTGTGCAGAAGCTCTTTAGTTTAATTAGATCCCATTTGTTAACTTTTGTTTTTGTTGCATTGCTTTTGGTGTCTTCATCATGAAATCTTTGCCAGGTCCTATGTCCAGAATGGTATTTCCTAGGTTATTTTCCAGAGGTTTTTATAGTTTGAGATTTCATACTTACGTCTTTAATCCATCTTAAGTTGATTTTTGTATTGATGTAAGGAAGTGGTTCAGTTTGAATCTTTTGCATACGACCTGCCCTTTATCCCAGCACCATTTATTAAATACAGGGTCCTTTCCCCATTGCTTTTGTCTACTTTATTGAAGATCAGATGCCAACCGCAAATTTTAATGAATACTTTGTTGATTCTTTTTTTTTTTTTTTTTTGGAGGCAGAGTCTTGCTCTGTCACCCAGGCTGGAATGCAGTGGCACAATCATGGCTCACTGCAGCCTCAACCTCTTGGGATCAAGCAGTCCTCCCACCTTAGCCTTCAAAGTAGCTGGGACTACAGTGTGCACCACTGTACCTGGCTAATTTAAAAAAAAAAAAATGTTTTTTTGTAGAGACACCATCTTGCTATGGTTGCCTAGGTTGGTCTTGAATTCCTGAGCTCAAGTGATCCTCTTGCATCAGCCTCCCAAAGCGCTGGGATTATAGGCATGAGCCACTGAACCCAGACTCACTTTGAGGAGTCTAGTGTGAATGGCCCGATATCTTCCAATAAAAAAATCTTCTGTAAACTCTACTAAACTACAGATTTAAGCAGAAAAGTGCATTTCCAAGTTTGTATTTAATAAAGTTCATGTTGAAACTTGGGTAGAAAAAGTTGGTAAATAAGTACCTGGTGGCCAGTTTTATTTGATTAATGATAGGAAAGAGATATCTAGGTATAATGCCTGGGTTTTTAGGGAACTATGAGGGTTGATAAGATCAAACAGAGAAAATATGTATGTAGTATTAGAAGAACCTTGGTGAAACCAACCCTTTAGGTGTAGAGGAATAAGTAGATTCAGAAGATACTACATTTTCAGAAGTCAAAAACTAGCAGAGAGTGATAATCACAATGGAAGAAGATTCAAAGACGGAAGGAGTAGGTGACCTGGATCAGAAAGACTTAGGAAGGTCAATACTAAGTGTGTTTATTGGATTTGTTAATTGTTAAAGCCTTAAGATTGAATGAGATTGCTTTCATTTACTTTCAGCAAAGCCAAGGGCATTGTCTTTCCCTTCTTAAATCTGGGACCTCATTTTATTTCTATTTTATTTGTCTCAAACTAAGATAGTAGGAATAATGAATGACTGTTCATTATAATCTTTTGGTATTTGCAAAGGTATGTGTATGTTTTTAAACACTCCCCCAACTTTCAGACTTTTTTTTATAAGACTGGGAAAATAACACAGATAATGTAATACTGATTGGCCTTAGAGCCAGTGACCCTGGGCAGTTCACCTAACTTTTCTGAGTTTCACATATTTCCCGTTTTATCTTCCCCTTCATATTAATGGATGAATTACCAAAAAATGTTTTACTACCCTAACCTCAGGAAGGTCATTGTAATGTAGTAGTTATGAGCATGGACTTTAAAGCCAAACTACCTCTTTGTGAATCTTGGCTCTGCCACTTATCTGTGTGTCTTTGGGAAAACTAACTTTCTGAGCCCCTGTTTCCTCATCTGTTACATGAGTTACTTTCAGTATTCACCTCAAAGAGCTATAAGAATTCAATGAGTAAACACATGTAAAGCACATTTTAGAAAGGTGCATCACACATAGTAACCTCTCTAAACCTTTGCTGCTGTTATCATTATGACATTATTGTGATAACAGTATCATCATCAGTCAACAAATGATAGATAACTCAGAAAATGAAAAGGTTGTTCCTTTATATAGTTTCCATAGAATCACTTTGTACCACTGCTGCTGAGTTGTAATCATTTGTTAGTCATATATGACCTAGATTCCATTTTCCAAGATTATTCAACAATGTAGAGGATCAGAGTAGTAGAAATACGTCTATAAACATTTCTAGGAATGGAATTAATTGTAATAAATAGCATCAGAGAAGCTGAAAATCTAAAGAGCTAATCTCTTAACTTTACGATGGAGGACAAAGATTTGATCTTTTGGAATTTTAATAATGTTTCCAGCATGAGATTAGCCTTCAATATTGATTTCTTTTTTCTTTTTCTTTTCTTCTTCTTTTTTTTTTTTTTTTTTTTTTTTTTTAAAGAAACAGTCTTGCCCTGTTGCCCAGGCTGGAGTGCAGTGGTGCAGCCTTGGCTCACTGCAGCCTCCACCTCCTGGGTTCAGGTGATCCTCCTGCCTCAGCCTCCTGAGTAGCTGGGACTACAGGCATGTGCCATCATGTCTGGCTAATTTTTTGTATGTTTAGTAGAGACAGGGTTTCACTATGTTAGCTGGGATGGTTTGTATCTCCTGAACTGATGATCCGCCCGCCTCAGCCTCCTAAAGTGCTGGGATTCTAGATGTGAGCCACCGAACCCCACCAAGCATGGTTTTTTAAAAAGTTCTAGACTTCTTTGGACCCTTTCAGCCTTTTCAGCTGACCTTGTTTTGGGGTAAAACCTAAGGTTTGAATTTGCTCATGTAATACACTACAAGAAACCAAAATTAATCTTTAGAATTATAATTGCTGATTAATAGGAATCAGAATCATTTTTTAAATATCTGCTTTTGTCTCTTACAGATAAATAAACTAACTTTCATTGTTAAACTTTAAAGAAACTGCTATGTTGAAATAGCCTATGTTTAATAATGGGACCTCATTTCTGACCTTTCTGCTCATCTCTTCTCTTTCTTTTTTTTTTTTTTTGAGACGGAGTCTCATTTTTTCATCCAGGCTGTAGTGCAGTAGCATGATCTCTTCTCACCACAAACTCCGCCTCCCGGGTTCAGGCAGTTCTTTTGCCTCAGCCTCCCGAGTAGCTGAGATAACAGGTGTGTGCCACCACACCTGGCTGATTTTTGTATTTTTAGTAGAGATGGGGTTTTGCCATGTTAGCCAGGCTGGTCTTGAACTCCTGACCTCAAGCAGTCTTTCTGCTTCGGCCTACCAAAGTGCTGGGATTACAGGCATGAGCCACTGCACCTGACCTTCTCTTTCATTTTTTTATTATTGTGTTTGAATATTCTTTAGCCTTTTCAAAATAATTTTATTAGTTTTAATCGTTAACATAAAATTTACTTGTATTTTTTTCTCTAGACTACCCTTCGGTGTTTTTCAAACCAGTAAAATTTGACATTTTAATTAATTCACTCAAAAATTAGTTGAGTGCCTGCTGTGTAATATAGTGCTCTAACAGGGATACATTTTGAACAAGATGTAGGCCCTGCCCTCATTAAGAGACATCAAATAATAAACATTTAAACAAGTGGTTTAGATACCAATAAGTACTAAGCAGTTCAGCAGATCATAGTAATCTGGTAACAGCCTAAAAGAATGGGCCTATGGTCTGGAAAAGCCTCTCTGGAGAAGCAGTATGTGAATTGGGAACTGAGGGATGAGGGGCACGTTACTATACCTAGAATCTGAGTGAAGAGTCTTGTAGGCAAAGGAACTTAAAACAAGCTTGACGTAATCCAAGAAAAGAAAAGCCAAAGTAGCTGAGTTCAGTGAGTCAAAGGAAGTGGTAGGAGATGAGATGTGAGAGCGAGACAGGGCCAGACTAGGGCTGTGTAGATTTTATTCTGATTCTAATATAATTGGGAAATGATATGATCATAGAGATCACCCTAACTATTATATGGAGATTGAACTATAGGGAGACACTTGGGGAAGCCAACTTCCATAAATTGGCCGTTTAAGAAATGTTTGTAGTAATACATACTGAATTTTATTTAATCATATTTGCTTCCATATATATTTCACTTGCCTCAGATCAACTGAAGTCAGAGTCCTCTAGAAAAATTCAAATCTATTTAATATATTTATTTGTGACCTACGTTATGAAATAACTATTAGTACCTTTTGATAGCTTAAAATTAGGCAGTGCTTAGTTACTTATAAATAAGTGATAAATTCTATGGCTAATCTCTGGTAGGCTTAAGTGTTTTGGCTGTTGTCCTACATATTCCAACATCCAACGTATCCAAACTAGTAACCTAAGGAAATCATAATTAGGAAGCTGTTGCCTCAGATAATCTTATCACTTGTCCGATAAAATCCCTTTTGTTTGGTGTGCTTTGTTTAATACTTTCTACAATTGCTCTTATCACAGCATACATAATCCTGTATTTAGTATTTTAGCAATAGCATTTTATCTGTAACTAGGTACTATAGATTAAATCTTTATATACAGACAGTCTGAGTTAGTCCTCTCCATCAGGTTCTGAAAATTAAAAACCATATACAGGTATTCAAGTAATTGAGCATCTTCTACAAACACATTGAGAATTTGCATTTCTACTTTGAATGTCAGTTGTTATCATGAAGCGTTGGTGGCATTACTTATCAATTATTTTAAACTAAGACAGTTCAGTGTTACTGCAGATATTAGTAGAATATTTTGCATTTCAACTTTATTGTCACCCATAGGCAAATGTTTGATAAAGAGAACTTGAAAATGCTTTTTTTCCTCTGGTTCAACATATACTGGCAGTTTCTAATGGAGTCTAGGTTAAGTTGAGCTCTTTTTGGAATTTCCAGCTGTTTCTACTTAGAATAGTTTTTTTGGTTTCTTTTTTTTTTTCTTTTTTTACTTTCATCTAACTCTTCCCTAACATAAAGAATTGACCTATCACAGAGCTTATTCAGATTATGCTAAAGACATATCAGTTCTAATTTAATGTTCCATGTCTTCTCTCCCAAGTTGTAAAACAAGATTGAATGTAAGACAAATAAGATCAGCAAGAGTTTTGATACAAGTAAGACTACCAGAGATCAACTGGAAATTTTCAGCTCATTTTCTTACTCTTTCCTTCTTTTGCCACGTGTTCAAAGAAATCTTTACTGTTTCTGGCATAACATATTTTCCTTCTGTAGGTCTCCTGCAAGCGCAAAATCTTTTAACGCAACTACCTCAGCAAAGCCAAGCCAACCTCCTACAGTCGCAGCCAAGCATCACCCTCACCTCCCAGGTCAGTTTTCTTCTATGGCGGTTGCTTTCTCTTATCATACTGTTTGGGAGACTTTTGGACTTTATTTAATCTTTTTAAAAAATCTAATAAAAATAATTCAGTCTTCAAAAACTCCAGAAAATCAAAGCTAGACTTATCAGCTCAGTAAAGCAATGCTACCAAATCAATATAGTCTTTGAAAATCTTCAGAGTTCTTATTTTCTTATATGTTCATAAAGAGTAACTGTGTTAGCAGTAAATGAGTAATGAGTTGTATCTATGTGACACCTCCCCTCATCATACTTGGCAGTAGATATTACCACTTAAACTGGAAACCTAGTTAGCTTCAGTTATAATCCATTGTTAACCCTTATCTGCAAAGAAATTTTGATCTCTATATTTTCTTTTTCTCTGTGCTTTGATGTTGCTTTAGCTCATTTCCACTAGACCATGTAAACACTATAATTATATATAAACAATCTTAGGCACCTGAGGTTTAAGTTTTAATTTTGCTTCTTATATAGCTGTTGCTTTGAAAATGTCATTTTACCTCTCTGGACCTCAGTTGTCTTATCTGTAGATTAGGTGACTGAACTGGCTGATCCTGAATCTTCTTCCAGCTCTGACTTTCTTTGTCTGCAGTATGGAAGTTATTACTTAATACTAACACATTACCGATTTGACAGAATTCAACATCCATTTATGATAAAAACTCTTGCAAACTAGATATAGAAGGTAACTTTCTCAACCTGGTAAAGAGTATATACCAAAAAAAAAAAAAACAAACCCAACATCATGCTTAATGAAAAACTGAATACTTTCCCTCTAAGATCATAAACAAGGCAAAATGACCAGTTGCCACTTTTATTCCACGTTATACTGAAGGTGCTAGTAATGCAATAAGATAAGAAAGTGAAATATTAATAAATGACATATAGATTAGAAAGGAAGAAGAAAAACTATCTTAGTTGCTAGATGACATGATTGTCTGTCTATGTAGAAAATCCTAAGGAATCTACCAAGAAAACAAGCTATTGGAATAAGTAACTTTAGCAGCAATGTTATAGTCAATATATAAAAATCATTTACATTTCAATATACTAGCAGCGAGCATTTGGAAATTGAAATTATAGTACTTAGGGATAAACTTAACAAAATATTTGTAAGGCCTATATACATTGAAAACTGTAAAACATTGCTGCATAAAATTAAAGACTTGTAAAATAGCTGTAATATGTTCATAAATCAAAGACTTAAGTTGTTAAAAGTGTCACTTTTTCCCAAATTGACCTCTAGATTCAACACAGTCTAAACCAGTATCTAGCAGGCTTTTTTGTAGAAATTTGCATACTGTTTCTAACATTTATATGGAACTGTAAGAAAACACAGAATAACCAAACAATTTTGAGAAGTAAGAAAGTTGAAGGACTACCTGATATCAAGAATAATTATAAAACTCCAATAATGAAGACAGTGTAATACTGGCATGTAGATAGAACTGGAGATCAGTGGAACAGAATAGAAGGGCCAGTAGACCCATATGTACATGGTCAACTGATTTACCAAAGGTGCCAAAGGATTTCAGTGGGAAGAAGAAAGTTCTTTCAAAAAATGCTGCCGAAACAATAGAAAAAAAAAAAAATCTTGACTATTATTTCACACCATATACAAAGACTTGTTTGATAGATCATAGACCTAAACTTAGAGAAAGAGCTTAGGTAAAAATCTTTGTGTCCTTGGGTGAGGCAAGGATTTCTTAAATAGGACACAAAAAGCACCATAAAAGAAAAACAGTTGATAAATTTAATTTCATAAAAATAAAAGCTGCTCTTCAAGCGAATGAAAAGAAAACCACAGACAGGGAGAACATATTTTTATGCAATGTATCTGATAAAAGATTTGTATTCAGAATTTCTAAAAAACTCATACAACTCAATAAGACAATCTGGTTTAAGGGAATGGGTGGCAAAAGAATTGGAGATACTTCACCAAAGAAGATACGTAAATGTCCAACAGGCATATGAAAAGATGCTCAAAAGCCATTAGTCATCAAGAAAATTTGAATGAAATATCACTACACACTCACTAGAATAAGCAGAATTTAAAAGGCTATGACAAAACCAAGTGTTGGTAAGAAGGTAAAGCAACTAGAGTTCTCATACATTGCTTAGTGGTGTTGCAAAATGGTACACACACTTTGGAAATTACTTCGTCAGTTTTTTGGAGGGGTGATGGGGAGGCAAGGCCTTGCTCTGTCACCCAGGCTGGAGTACAGTGGCACAATCACAGTCCACTCTAGCAGCCTTGACCTCCCAAGCTCAAGCAGTTCTCCTGCATCAGCCTTCCGAGTAGCTGGGACTACAGTTGTGCACTATCATGCCCAGCTAATTTTTGTATTTATTGTAGCAATGTGGTTTCGCCATGTTGCCTAGGCTGGTCTCGAACTCCTGGGCTCAAGTGATCTGCCCGTCTTGGCCTCCCAAAGTGTTGAGATGACAGGCGTGAGCCACTGCACCAGGTTGGCAGTTTCTTATATAAAATTAAATGTACGTGTACCTTGTGACCCAGCAGTTTTATTCCGAGAAATAAAAGCATATGTCCACACAAAGACTTGTATGTGAATGTTTATAGCAGCTTCATTCACCTCAGACTGGAAGCAACCTAAATACACATCAGCTGGTGAATAGGTAACATAGCTTTAGCATATCCATATGATGGAATGGTACTTAGCAGTAAAAAGAAACATGCTTCTCTGATACATGCATCTCCTATGAATCTCAAAAGCATTATATTAAATGAAAAAAGACATAAAAGAGTGCATATAATATGATTCAATGCACATGGCATTTTAGAAAAGACAAAACTGTAGGAATGGAAAACATATTAGTGATTGCCAGGCACAAGGGGCTAATGGTGGGGATTAACTGCAAAGGGCACAAGGGAACTTTTGGGAGTAATGAGAATGTTCTGTATTTTAATTGTAGTAGCGGTTGTGTGACGGTATATAGTTGCCAGAACATAAACTGTGCCCTTTTAAATGGTGAATTTGTGAATATGTTGAATGTAAGAGTGAGGTTGGGGTTTTGAAAAAGGTCTGTACCAGACATTACTCCTTGGCCTGCATGCTCTGCATACGGTGGCAGGGCTATTGTGGCTTCATCTTGACTCCTGCTCACTGAATTCTACTCTGCCATTTCTAGATCTGGCCCAGTCCAGCCTGAGGTTTCTGGAGTTGGGGTAACTTATCTGTAACCACCCCATCTAAAGGTACCCAAGCTATTTTTAGTCCTTTATTATTTGAGAATGGGGCTACTTCAAGCCTGGAGATGAAGTAACAATATGATAGTTAAGAGTCACCTTTACCTGTCAAGCAGTTGTGCTGTTTGAAGTGTACAGCCACATAGTCTAGTATGGTTGGTGCTGGTTTTGGGTCCTCCAAAATGGTCAGGTTGAATATTACGCAGTGTCAGCATGACATAGAAATGAACTTTGTTGTTGTCGTTGAAACAGGATGATAAGAGAGGAACTTAACTCCAGTTGTTGCCTCTATAATGCTTATTCTGTAGTTTTCTGGGCCAGTGAGTTGCTTTGGAGGAAGCCTTGACTCACAAGGTAAAGCTCATCTAAATTAGAAGAAAAATTCACAGCCACAGACTTTATCTGTAATCCTGGTTTATAATCGCTCACCTGGGCTACTGTTCACAGACGGGATCAGCTGAGCAATTAAGATGCAGTCAGGGATCACCTCCTGCTAGTGAGGTGTGTTCCACTCAGGGCTTGTGAATAGAATAGAATAACCTTATGTTTGTGTAATAAGAAAATTGAGTATTTTATTTTTAAAAAGACTACTCTCATGTCCAAAAATAGACTATACATGGATTTAAATATTCAAATATTCAACAATACATAGAAGCAGCTAGCAGATTAAAAGGAATTTTATCAGTGTTAGAAATAAATGAAGCTTTCTCAGATTTGAAGTAATGGGATATATTAGAAAGGAAAATTAAAAGCTCACCCAAATGATAATTTAAAGCTTTATGTACACTGAAAAATAAAAGGAAAAAAGCAAATTGGGAAAAGGATTTGCATTAATATGACAAAGCTTACTCTATAAAATTTGAGGATCTCTCTAAGGATAAGGATGAGAATAAGGGTATCATTAATATATAAATAGGTTAAGGACATAAATCCAATTCACATCCAAGGAAATACAGATAATAATTGACACATAAGAAAATTTTGACATTGAATAGTAAGAGAAATACAAATTAAGGCATCAGGAAACTACCATTTACTTCTTGAATTAGCAAAACATTTTTTTAAACTGCTAACACTAGCCATGTGGAAGAGTGTTGCAGAGTGGAAATCAACATTATGATATCAAAAGCCATGAAATTGTTTATCTAGTTACCCAAAAAGCCCTTGAGAATTTATCTCAAAAAAACTAGTTACACACATAGGTGGAAAAAATAACTAATGTGCATAAATTTTTTCATTGTGTTATCTATGTTCATGAAAACATAAATGAAAAACTGTTATAAGAATATTGCCTTAGTTTTTTAAAAGGATAATTATGAAGACTGAAATACCATAGAAAAAAGTTAAGCAATGTTAAGTGAGACAAGCAGAGTAAAATTATGTATACCATAATTATAGTAAAAGGTTTAAAAATGTAGGTCCTTGGGGAAAAAACTTGAAGAGATAAACAAAAGTGAAACCCGTTATAAGCTATTTAAACTACAGGTGGTTTACTTTTCCCCTTAAAATAGTTTTAATGATCTTGAATCCTATTTTTATAACACTGTGTCACAGGTTGGAGATGTGATAGTGATAAACAAGACAGACTCTCTACTGTTTTGACAGTTTAAGTGCCAGACTTATGAAATAGATTTTCTGAAATAAAGAGTAATTTATTAAAAGACATAAGATACAGGTATTCAGATCATTTGAAAACCCAGTTATAATAGATTTTATTGTTGTATATTCATGTTTTCTTCTATAGAATTACATGCTTAACCTTGTAATAACAGTATACATAATTTCACTGTCTGCTTTGCTGACTGAACTGTTGTACATTCTGTAGTGTTACATGGTCTTCATAGTTCTCCATGAATATGGCTATTTCCTTAAGTTGTTTAGTTGGAGTAAACCTCAATAACTCTTCACATTTGTCCTCAACGTTTTATTCTTTCTCCAACAGCCAGCAACCCCAACACGCACAATAGCAGCAACCCCAATTCAGACACTTCCACAGAGCCAGTCAACACCAAAGCGAATTGATACTCCCAGCTTGGAGGAGCCCAGTGACCTTGAGGAGCTTGAGCAGTTTGCCAAGACCTTCAAACAAAGACGAATCAAACTTGGATTCACTCAGGTAGGGTGAATTGGCCTTACATTGATTGCCCTCCTTGGCTGGGTTCAAATACAGTTGGCTGGCTATATTCATGGAGTTCACATCTGTGGATTCAACCAATCCAAAATATTTGGGGTAAGGGGTGCAAAAAAGGATGGTCATGTTTGTACTGAACTTGTATAGACTTTTTTTCTTCCCATTATTTCCTAAACAATACAACAACGATTTACATAGCATTTACATTATATTAAGTATCATAGGTAACTTAGAGATGATTTAAAGTATATGGGAGCATACATGTATGTTAAATACAAATATACATTTTATAATTTCGAGGACTTGAGCATCAGTGGATTCTGGTATCCAAGGGAGGTCCCAAAACCAATCCCCTGTGCATGCTGAGGGACAAATGTATTTGCTTTGTATGTCCAAAGAGACTTCTAAGGAACAATGTGTTCCTCAGCCATGTTGTTTTTTGGTTTTAAACTGTACCTTTTTGTTAGCCTTTTCCTGCATTTTTAACATATGGTTTAATGTTAGTCTAGAAGCTTTATGGTTCTTTCAGAACACAGGCCTCTAAAATCATAATATATTAGTAAATTGTGAGAGTTTAAGAGATTGTGTTGGAGATATTTTGACTGTACTGAGGATTTTGTTATTTGAAGAATATATGGCGGTAGACCTTAGTGCTGCATATGTAAGATTGAGAGAGTCAAGATTACAGGGTATATTATAGTAGCTAAAGGGGAAACATTTAGAAGGCTTGTTTAAAAATAGTTTTTTGTGGTAGATTGCAGTAGCTCACATCTATAATCCCAGCACTTTGGGAGGCTGAGGTGGGAGGATTGCTTGAGCCTGAGAGGTCGAGGCTGCAGTGAGCCATGATTGCTCCATTGCACTCCAGCCTGAGTGACAGAACAAGACACTGTCTCTAAAAAAATAAAAAATAAAAATAAAAATAATGTTTTGGAAGAGAGGGGGTGATGGAGACATGCATAGAAGCACAGGCGCACACACTCTAAGCCTGTGCTGAAACCAATTAAGAATCTCTAGAAGATGAAAACCCCAAATTAACCAAAATCCAAATTAATTTTCTGGAATTTGTCAGCTGAGGACTTTTAAAGTAGAGTGAATATATTTAATGATTTAAACAGTTGTCTGGATATATAGCATTTCTGTTTGTATTAAGCACTACCATTGACTTATTCTTTGATTAACTGTCATATTTTTTTGGAGATGCAGTCTCACTATGTTGGCCAGGTTGGTTTTGAACTCTTGGCCTCAAGCAATCCTCCCACCTTGGCCTCCCAAAGTGCTAGAATTACAGGTGTGAACCACTGCACCCATCCTGCAAATGATACTTTTAAACAGGCAAGGAATTAAACTGAATGAAATTTATTTATATAAAATGGTATAAGATCATTAAGTGAACAAAAAAATAAGTGTGGATTAGATTGGGTGCTTTTATGGAATCAGGAAAAATCTGATGTTTTCTTTCCAGGGAATATACTTACCATTTGAAGTTTTGTTTTGTTTGAAACAGTTTCACTCTTGCAGCCCAGGCTGGAGTGCAATGGCACAATCTCGGCTCACCACAACCTTCACCTCCTGAGTTCAAGCGATTCTCCTACCTCAGCCTCCCGAGTAGCTGGGATTACAGGCATGAGCCACCACACCCAGCTAATTTTGTATTTTTAGTAGAGATGGGGTTTCTCCATGTTGGTCAGGCTGGTCTCAAACTTCCAACCTCGGGAGATATGCCCACCTCAGCCTCCCAAAGTGCTGGGATTACAGGCATGAGCCACCGCTCCCGGCCTACTATTTGAAGTTTTTAAGCCACTACTTAAATATTGTTCAAATTATTTTGTGTTGAAAGTACAGTAATGCCCCACCTGGCCTGGTTGGTCAAAATCTGAGGATACCATCCCTACATGGGTTAAGGGATGGGTGGGTGTTTTTAAGAACACATTTATTTATATATATATATATATATATCTTTATATAAAAAAGATACATATGTATCTTTTTTTTTTCTTTTTGAGACAGAGTATTAGTCTGTCACCCAGGCTGAGACCGCCAGGGCTCAAGGGATTCTCCCACTTCTGTCTCCTGAGCAGCTGGGACTACAGGCATACCACCACACCCGGCTAATTTTTGTATTTTTTGTAGAGATGAGGTCTTGTCATGTTGCCTAGGCTGGTCTCGAACTCCTGGGCTCAAGGAAATCTGACCACATCAGCTTCTTAAAATGCTGAGATTACAGGTGTAAGCTACCATGCCCAGCCCAGATTTACATTTCTTTGGGAATTCATTTTTGCTCAAGGAAATGAATTGTATTGGGGAATATAAAATGATTTTTTAAATAGGCATGCTTTTAGAGGAAATACAGTTATATTTATGAGAAGTTTCACTTGTTAGGAAATAAATTATCCAGAAACATTTTAATATTGTCAAAGCATCTTAAATGATCTGACTTGTTTTAAAAAGAAAGCTAGGGTGGGTGTGGTGGCTCATGCCTGTAATCCCAGCACTTTGGGAGGCTGAGGTGAGTGGATCACCTGAGGTCAGGAGTTCAAGACCACCCTGGCCAACATGGCGAAACCCCATCTCTACTGAAAATACAAAAATTAGCCAGGTGTGGTGGCGGACACCTATAATCTTAGCTACTCGGAAGGCCAAGGCAGGGAGAATTGCATGAACCCAGGAGGCAGAGGTTGCAGTGAGCCAAGATTGCACCACTGCACTCCATCCTGGGCGACAGAGCAAGACTCCATCTCAAAAAAAAAAAAAAAAAAAGGAAAAAGCTAAACATAACACTAGATTGATAGCAGTGCCTCAAGTTTTAAGCTTATAGCACAGCATACTCTTAGGTTCTCTAAGAGATTGTTGCCTAAGTGATATGCCAAAGATGTTAAGGCTTTTAAAAATCTTTAACTTTTACTGAAATAGTGGTTTGCCTTTCTGTGGCATCTGACTCAGTACATTGCCAGTGTTATGTTTTTCTCCCCCTCTGCACATCCCTCCAGGTAAGGGAGCTTCCTTATGGTCTCGTGTTTTGTTTTATGGTTTTATCCTATTTTTTGGCATGACCATTCCTTATTTTTTGAAATGACTTTGACACAACAGGGCAATGGTTCACAAACTTGGACTATGTAGGTTAAAGTACATACTACTGCTGCAGAATGGAAAATCAGTCTATCAACCTCTGTTTTTAAGTCAGATACTTCAATTTTAGTCACTCAAAGGCTGTTCTGTGTCCAACTTATTTGTATACACACACACAGTTTTAGCCAGTCAGGTTATTTGCTGAAACAAATCCCTATTCTCTGATTAAATATACATATTATTAGATGTTTTAAACAGTTACTTTCTAATTATGTAATTACTTATTAAAGGATTACTATGGATGTCTTTGCACAATTAAAAAGCATATCATAGTATAATACATTTATCATATGTGGTACATTCATTATTTCCCAGTCCCAGTCTTTGTTTCTTTTTTGTTTTGCTCTTTTTAAAAATATCAAAGGGTTTTAATATAGTTAAGATCATATATGAATCAACTACTTAAAACGTTTACTTTTGTGAGTGATAACCCAAGATGGTCGTGAATTGGGTTATCACTAAAGAGCACTAAACCAAGCCTGTTCCAAATTAATGAAAATTAGTATGTTAACTGAGGAGCCTGTTGCTTTTTATTTAATCAAGCAGTTTAAATGTGAAATAAAATATATTGTGAATAAATGATAAAGTCACTTTATCATGGTTCTAGTTAGTGGCATAGCTTTATTTCTAGCCACCACCTTTAGGTATCATTTCTTACAGTTATTGTCGTGATTTTTTTAAATATATTTTTTATTTACTTATTTTTTTTTTTTTAAGAAAAAGGGTCTGTGTCAGCTCTGACTGGAATGCAGTGGCACAAAAATAAAGCTCACTGCAGCCTCAAACTTCTGGGGTCAAGTGATCTTCCCACCTCAGCCTCCCAAGTAGCTGGTACTGCTGGCACATGCACCACACCCAGCTAATTTTTTTTCTTTTTTGGGGGAGAGATGAGGTCTCTCCTTAAAAAAAAATAAATAAAAAAGCTAAACATAAAACTAGATTGGTAGGAGTAAGTCACAAAGCTGAAATAAGTATAAGGTTAGCATATTTAGCCTATTGCCTGGCTATAGATTTATTTTTTACTTGTTAAATTGTTACTTTTAAAGTAAGATAGAAGTTTGTGAAAATCTGTAGCATACTGTGCAGTTTCTATTCCAGAAAATTCCTGTTGCCATCTAACTGCTACATAAGTTCTCATACTCAAAGAATTGCAGGGTTAGTTGGCGCCAGCTCTAATCTAAACAAGATGACCATGACATGAATACATGTGATGCACAAAGCATAAGTTTAGTGCTTGACATATAGTAGGCACTTAGTGAATATTTGATTGACTGAAGTAATATATTTTATTTTATTTATTTTATTTTATTTTATTTTATTGAGATAGAGTTTCATTCTATTGCCCAGGCTGGAGTGCAGTGGCATGATCTTGGCTTACTGCAACCTCCGCCTCCCGGGTTTCAAGCAATTCTCCCGCCTCAGCATCTTGAGTAGCGGGGATTACAGGGGTGCGCACCACACCCAGCTAATTTTTGTATTTTTTCGCCATGTTGGCCAGGCTGGTCTCGAACTCTTGACCTCAAGTAATCCACCCACCTCAGCCTCCCAAAGTGCTGGAATTACAGGTGTGAGCCACCATGCCTGGCCTGAATGAAGTAACATTTAATAAATATATAGAGATATAGGTATAGATAAACATAGTCATCTATATCTTTAGATATATTTGTGTACAGTATAGATGTGATGGATAGCATTTATGCCCTGCTCACCACTAATTCTGGTTCTTTCAGTTTCACCGTAATTGGAAGGAAATCAATAAGCAGTCTACTTCAGTATATTCAGAACTGTCATTAAAACTTTCTGTGATGATGGGGTGTTGTGTATTTGTGCGGTCCAATACAATAGCCACTGTATACTTGTGGCTGTTGAGCATTTGGAAGGGCTGTGGTGCTGAGGAACCTAATTTTTAATTTATTGGATTTTAATTAATTTAAACTTAAATAGCCATATGTAGCTAGTGGCTATATGGGAAGGCAGAGGATATCAATCAGTTGAAGTTCAGGTATTTTGTGTGCCTCATTTTATCTTACAGTTCCAACACGTCTCATCTGTTAAGTTTTTTACCAGAAGTTGCTCACCAAAAAGAAAATGAGGTTTTAAAAATGTTTTTTTTTTTAACCCAACTGCCACCTAATGTAGGTGCTAATAAAAAATGTAGTATTCAAAAGATGGACTAGGGGTGGGGGGAAATCAAAGGATTGGGATAATCCTAGTTCTGGCAAAATAAGTGTTGCCAGATAGTTGACTGTCTCATATTAGAATTAGTTGTATAGTACTTTGGACAAGAAATGATGCTGCCTTTCTGCCCTGCCAATAAACTAATTGGAGTGAGTGGGTGAATGAATCATTTAAACTCTGAACTTCTGTTTCCTCTATATAAAGTAACTATTAAGATATGGCTTTTTTTTTCCAGCTTGAACAAGAGCGATTCAGCAAGAAGAAAAGCTCTGTATACATTTCAAAGGTTATAGGATTACAGAGAAAGACATCTTTTGTAATATATTCAGGGCATCATTGTTCTATTGCTATAAGGTTACCAAGTTTCCAGTGCCCATGAAGGTTTGACTAAATGGGTCAAACCTCTCTACTGTGAATTTCTATTTCTATGATGGTTACAAAAGTAGTCTTTTAGAATACCTGTTTTTTGTAACTAACTTTGAAATCCAAACTAGGAGTGAAAATAGACTTTTTTTTTTTCACTGCTTCCAGAAATACTTGATAGGGAAAAGAAGAAAGAGATGATTTCTAATTTTTAAAGTGATTTTTGGGAAGTTTGGTTAGTTCAGAAATATCTTGGGTTATCTAGAGAATTGTATATAATACCTGTAGGTGATCGAGATAAATTTATTTTTATTTTTTAATTTTTTTTCTTTTTTTGAGACAGGGTCTCGCTCTGTCACCCAGTGGCATGATCATGGCTCGCTATAGCCTTGACCTCTTAGGCTCAAGAGATCCTCCCACCTCAGCTTCCCAAATAGCTGGGACTACAGGCACATGCCACCACACCTGGCTGATATTTGTATTTTTTGTAGGTGTTTTGCCATGTTGCCCAGGCTGGTCTGAAAATCCTGGGCTCAAGCAATCCACCCATGTACGCCTAAGCCTCCCAAAGTGCTGGGATTAAAGATGTAGCCACTGTGCCTAGACCAGATAAATTCATTTTTAAAGATTACTTGAAAATCGCTTTGGTTGCATCAATTAAGGGGCTTGTTAGAATATCAGCACTATATTTGATACCTAGTTGAAATTTTGGTATCTCCATGATTGTGTAAGGTGGCAAGAAGAGATTCAAAATAGGAAAGTATGTGGGACAGTATTGAGCACTGTAATGATCAGGCCTAACAGTCCTCACAGTAATGCTGTGACTGGCTTAGGGATGGAGTTTATGTGGGACCCTGTAAGTAGAATAATTATTGACCCTTTGTCTACAGCAGTTACTGGAGCAACACCACAGAGTAAAGGCCTTAAGCATTGATGAGATGACTATTTCCTCTCTTCTGCTCTGTATTATGTGTAGGGTGATGTTGGGCTTGCTATGGGGAAACTATATGGAAATGATTTCAGCCAAACTACCATCTCTCGCTTTGAAGCCTTGAACCTCAGCTTTAAGAACATGTGCAAGTTGAAGCCACTTTTAGAGAAGTGGCTAAATGATGCAGGTAAGTGAATATATAAGACATTTCTTTGTCATTCATTGGAATTTTACAGGGGGGTTGTTATATAAATTGGGGTTTATATTTGTTACTCTACTTTTGTTACTATAGAACCTTGAAGCTTACCAATCCTGTGATGATCATTATAAATTATGGTGATGTAAATCAGAAAGCTGATTCATTTAAATATTCTAGTAGTCATAGTCTAAATAATTAGCAATAATTTTTAGCCCAAAATAATTCTTGTATTTGAGCCAGGATTACGAACACACACACAGTTGAAGGAATAGGATAAGAAGGCCGGTGTATTTAGATAAGCTTGAAGTGCAAGCTTATTGTTTATTCCTTGATGAATTATCATAGAACTTGTTCCTGTAGTATTTCTGCTTTTGTTGTTTCAAATGACCACACGTTTCATTCAGAAAAGTTGGACCTCTAGCTTTGTCTTACGTTTTTTGTGCTAAGATTTCCTTTTGGAAGATTTGGATTTTGAGTCACAGAATCGTAGACTATGAAAGCTATAGGAGTCATCTAGATTTCTTAGACTATGGTTCTTATTGTAGATGTGAACAAAAACTAGGCCTTTGGAAAAGACAAGCCTGAAACGCATCCGTGGAGAGTTTTATTCAGTAGCTATTGGTGAGGCCTAGCCATCTGTTTGCTGAGTCCACAGATAAAAACGACTGGTTTACTCCCTCCATCTTATTTTACATGTAGCAGAAACAAACTCAGATGTGTCTGATATGCCCAAGGTTATTAAACTGTGAAATCACAGAACTCTATGATTTAACTTCAAAGAATTTATAAATATTTCATTCGTTTCTTTTCTTTTTACCCTAGATTATACCAATAAAATGAGAGGCCATTTACAAAATAAATATTAAACATTCAGTAATTTCCAGGAAGCTTTCTTTTTATCCTCAATATTTATAAACAGAAATGAGAGACGTAGAGCTGAGTTTAAGGGTAGGAATAGTAAACAACTTCTTTCTCAGAAACAGAAATCCAAAAGTAGTGGTAATATTGTCAACTATCCTAGGACAAAGAATGCCAATAAGGGCAGCAGAAATATCCATAGTAGTAAGCTGTATTTTTTGAGACATGGTCTCACTCTGTTACCCAGGCTGGAGTACAGTGGCACGATCTCAGCTCACTGCAACCTCCACCTCCCAGATTCAAGTGATCCTCCCACCTCAGCCTCCCAAGTAGCTGGGACCATAGGCGCACGCCACCATGCCCAGCTAATTTTTGTATTTTTGGTAGAGACACGGTTTCACCATGTTAGCCAGGCTGGTCTTGAACTCCTGACCTCAAGTGATCCTCCCACCTCAGCCTCCCAAAGTGTTGGGATTACAGGTGTGATCCACTGTGCCTGGCCAATAAGCAATATTGCAACATAGGTTATGTGAAGACCTTTTAATACTTGCATGTAGCTTATTTTGTCAGTTTTGTTAATATGCATGTTATACACATGAATCACTGTGCTCAGCTTATTTTATTTCTGTACTTTCTTCATTCTTACAGAGAACCTCTCATCTGATTCGTCCCTCTCCAGCCCAAGTGCCCTGAATTCTCCAGGAATTGAGGGCTTGAGCCGTAGGAGGAAGAAACGCACCAGCATAGAGACCAACATCCGTGTGGCCTTAGAGAAGAGTTTCTTGGAGGTCAGTGAGGTTTTTACTTTTCTGTACATGGGATTGTCTGTGTAGGACTTAACATTAGTACTTAGTAGAAACTGTAGGTGATAAAAGATGACCTGTCAGCCTCTGCCCTTATGGATGATTTTAATGTAATAGGTGAAATAAGTAAGTTACTGAATGACATAGGAGACAGAACCAGAGTTCTGCAAGTTTCAGGAGACCAGAATCATACCCATGTGAGCACTCAGTATGAGAGAGGTAGCAGCTACCATAGGATACATAGGAATTAATTCCGCAGACAAGAAAAAGTGGATAGAAAGTACTTAAAGCAGAGGAAACACATGAATGTTTCCCCCTCAGAGTGGGGAAAACATTGAGTGAGGGAAACCATAGCGTACCAGGAGATACTCTAGTAGATTGGTTGGTTAAATTCTAGTGTCTGTATGCCTGGAATAGTCATTTGGGACTGGAACACTAGCGACCTTGAATGTTAGGCTGTGGAGCTTAAGTTAATGCAAGAGATATTTGGCAATTATTTTTTTGTGCCAGGCAATATCATAATCAAAGCTTTTAAGAAAATTTTGACTTCTGTAATTCAGAAAAGACTTGAGCATGTTAGAAGGACACTGAATTAGGAATTTTAATCAGCTCTGCCACTTACTAACGTGTGATTGGGCAAATCACATGATTTCTTTAAGCTGAAGTTCCTTCATCTATGAAATACCTGCCTTTCTTAATGTGAGGTCCAAATTAGATAGCATGAAGAAAGGTTAAATTCCTACTAATACATAGGGTTGTATTGGTATTTTGTTAATTTTATTCACAATTAATAGATCTTAAAAATGAAAAAATACAGATATTCGATGATAACGTATTCTAAGTTAATATGAATAAGTTTAGTAAGTATATGTTCTTTAGAACTTCTATCTACAGAATCTCTCTGTTGAAAGTGGCCTAATATGGATGGTCATATGTATCCCCGCTTCATTTTCTAGCCTGTCCCTCCTCATTTGTTTGTTTATATACTGACGTGATTATGCCAATAGCTCAAAAAGTTATTCCAAAGGATAACTTTTGGAATTATGTTTTTTCACCCTTCAGAATCAAAAGCCTACCTCGGAAGAGATCACTATGATTGCTGATCAGCTCAACATGGAAAAAGAGGTGATTCGTGTTTGGTTCTGTAACCGCCGCCAGAAAGAAAAAAGAATCAACCCACCAAGCAGTGGTGGGACCAGCAGCTCACCTATCAAAGCAATTTTCCCCAGCCCGACTTCACTGGTAAGAATGAAAAATAGGGTTTCCAAGCTCAAGGGCTAATTTTTGCAATTTTGCAAATGACCTGTTAAATCAGTTTATTTCATAATAGGAATTTAATGAATACATCAAATAAATGCATATAAATTTATATTTTAGACAGTATCAAGGTAACGAAATTCTCTCTCTCTCTTTTTGCTGAGGTCACTGGTCTTGAGGTACCCCTGCACAGAGGGTGAAATCTGATTGTTATTAACCCAAGAACTTACTGGTCTGTCTGTCTATCTATCTATCTATCTATCTATCTATCTAATCTAATCTATCTATCTAATCTATGTATTTATTTTTGAGACATATTCTCAGTCCATCAGCCAGGGTGGAGTGCAGTGGTAGATCTCGGCTCACTGTAACCTCTGCCTCCTGGGTTTAAGCAGTTCTCCCGGCCTTAGCCTCCCAAAATAGTTGGGATTACAGGTGCCCACCACTATGCTCGGCTTATTTTTTGTATTTTTAGTAGAAGTGGGGTTTCGCCGTGTTAGCCAGGCTGGTCTCGAACTTCTGACCTCAAGTGATCCATCTGCCTCAGCCATCCAAAGTGCTGGGATTTACAGGTGTGAGCCACCTCACCCAGCCTTTTTTTTTTTTTTTTTTAATTGAGACACAGTTTTGCTCTCATCGCCCAAGCTGGAGTGCATTGGTGTGATCTCAGCTCACTGCAACGTCTGCCTCCCAGGTTGAAGCAATTCTTCTGCCTCAGCCTCCCAAAGTAGCTGGAATTACAGGCACCCGCCACCAGGCCCAGCTAATTTTTTTGTATTTTTAGTTGAGATGGGATTTTACCATGTTGGCCAGGCTGGTCTTGAACTCCTGACCTCAGGTAATCCACCCAGCTCAGCCTCCCAAAGTGCTGGGATTGCAGGTGTGAGCCACCGCACCCTGCCCGCCTTTCTTAATTTTTAAAGTGAACAATTTTAATTCTTTCATTGTATTTCCATCATACTCTTTTCTTGTGTAGTTCCTTAGATTACTCTGTAACCATGGGAGTAAATTTGCTGCTCTTTCCAGTTATCTCAGAAAATCTTGTTACTTTTTATTCATGTTGAGTCCTACAGCCCAATTAATTAAACTTACACTCACATGATTGACAGTAAATTGCCAGACCTTCAGCTCTGAACTTGTATGAAAACAATTATCTCAGATCTTTTACTTTCAAACAACATATGATTCTTCCCTTTGAAACCTCTTTGAATAACTTCTGCTGTTTGCATTACTCCTAGATTGAAGAGACATACAGTGGTCATGTGACTCCCTTGATTTTGGGATGATTGTATATGTGACTTCTACATTGCCAGGATTCAAAATATGGGAATATTGTTTAATTTGCATTTCTGTTCTTTTTTTTTAATTTGGTTTTATTTTAATTGAATAGCATTCCATACTGGCAGTCTTTTTAAACTAAAGTCAGCATTAAAAGCACATGTTAGTTTACAGGAAAGTTGTAGTTAAGTGGTGGGTTTGTAGTCATAAAGTTTATGAGATAGGTATGAAAAAGAGAATTATTAAATAACAATTTTGTACAGGTGATGTTTATGTTTTAGATTTATTTGTCCTAGAAGACAGTATTTCTTGCAAACTGTAGAATTTTTTTGTATTTCAAAACTAATCTTAGTTTTTTAAAAGTTTACATGATATTATTTTTATAGTTTTCTTTTATTAAAACCAAACATAAGGCCATACTGCCCCCCACAGAGTCAAAAGTAAAAGTAATACATGTACCGCAGATTCCCTGATCCTGTCGAACAGTTTTCTCATTTAGGTAAAGTTGATAATTAGTAGAATGTTTATTACTGACTTAGCATGTATCTAATTCAACATTATTGAAATTTAGGGACTTTTATTATTTATTTTTAAAACCCGGGCTAAGTTATTTGTGGTATCAGTGAACAACCATCTTCCAATAGCAGCTTTCCAACACAGGATGTCAGATGTCTCAATTCCAAGACCAAAGACTGACTATAAAATGATTTTTAAGTGCTTTGTCCATGTTTTCATTTCTGACCTCAAGGTGGCGACCACACCAAGCCTTGTGACTAGCAGTGCAGCAACTACCCTCACAGTCAGCCCTGTCCTCCCTCTGACCAGTGCTGGCGTGACAAATCTTTCAGTTACAGGTAAGCAGCTGCCAGGCCATGTACCTGCTGAGCACGTGGGAGGCCCATGATGGGTTATTATAAGAATCTTCCATTAAATTGTGAATTAAGGCTCTAACTAAAGATTGGTGTTGCTCATAAACATCAATTTTCTTTCAAGTAACTTCTCAAAAACCTTCAATAGCTGTGGCTTTTTGCATTCAGGAAAACTTCCAAGTTTATCAATTCATAGAAGGTTATTTCCAGTCTGTACCTGATCTCCCGCTAGTCTTTTGCCTACCCTACTCCCAGCACACAGGAGGGCTCCATCTGTACCTTTGTAAACATCCCTACACTGGAAATGTCCATCTTATCCTGCAGTTCTTGATCTGTTATTGATAAAACTACCCCAGCTTACATGTCAACTTTTCTTGGAAATATTATTTAGCTTCTCCAGGAAACTATTCGTTTCCACATACCTGTATTATAGTTTTATTTTTACACATCTGTCTTTCCCAATAGACTTTGTATTTCTCAGAAGATTGAGCATTCTTTTTGAACTCTTGATGCCTAGCTCAGTGCATGACATACTCACTATAAAATGAATGGTTTTTTTTTCCTTTGCCTTCCTTTAAGTAGCAAATTTTCCCAATAAATTTAAAATCACTTAGCACTGTCATTAGATGTTTTTTAGTGAAACATAGTGCATAAGACATGCTGTAATTATTCACCAGGTTGGTTATTTACTGGTAAATCATTGGGTAGATTAATGATATTTCATAATGAAGCTTGATTTAACCTAGAGGTGAGGACTTTTATTTTTCTTACTTTTGTTTTAAGTTTATAACACTTCCTTGGCTCTAGGACCTAACCGTGATGTAAAAATTGAATAAATGGCTTTCTTTATGCTATATTAAATTTCTACATTATTGGAATACATTATTAAAAAATGTTATTTATTTTTTTCTGCATCCAACTGTCCATTAATTTTTGCTTATTTTAAAAAGTACTTCTTGATCCTCTTCTGGATGTTGGACCTCTTTAAGAATTAATGAACGCTACAGACTTTTCCTTCCACTAAATAGACATATGCACAAGTTTTAGTAAAATTTAAGGAGGTTTATAAATGATTACTCCTGTCAACCCCCACCCCAAGGCTATTTGTGGATACCTACAGATTCCAGTTTTAAGAACCTTCGTTCAAGAATATATTTAAGAACCTTGGTTAGGCATATGTATAATATTGAGTGCGTCCTCTTAAAAAGCAAACTGTTAGTGATTGATTGGCACTGTGTTCAGGCACCAAGAACATGAAGTTTTGTCTCTGAGGACCTTGTTGTCCAAATTGACTGCCAGTCACCTGGTAAATTATAAACTGAATCTTACTTTCCCAACAAATTATATTGCTTTAGGTCTAAAAATACCTGTTTTTTACAGAAAAAAATTCTAATAGTTTACACATTAAGAAAAAATTGCTTTGCAGTTTTCTTAAAATATGGGGAAAAATAATTTTAGAAAGATTTTAATACTCAGTGCTAGCTAAAAATTTGCATCAGTTTTTGATATTTCTTATCAATCACATTTTCTTGAGCTCAGTTACTTAACCTATTTATGTGGATCTAATTGTGATTGTTTTCTGACATGTTGATAATGTTTCCTGGAATGAATTTTTTTTTTAATTATTAAGAAACAACATTATTAGGAAATTTAAACAGGAAAAAACAATCACAAGTACTATTTTTATTTTCTCTTTAAATCTTTTTAATGTACATGTATGTACAATTTCAGTAGTATTTGTCCGGTACAATATTTGATTGCAGCCTTACGATACTCTAAGCAGAGGACTCAGCTAGGTTGTGCCTGGACACCTGACCCAGAAAAACTATGAGATGATAAACTGTGTTGTTTTAAGCTGCTGAATTTGTGTCATTGCTCCTTGAAAGAGAAGAAGAGTCAGTGTCAAGTGGATTGTCTTTCTCACTCTTTTGTCAGCCATTGCTCAAAACCATGCCTGCTTTTAAATTTTTTTCCTCTTTGGACTATAACTTTCAGGTGCAACCTCTTTTCCTCTGACATTTTTATACTGCCTTCTTTTTTTCTAGAAACTGTTGAGAAAAGTAGCGTGTTTCTTTATCATGTTATTTATTAAAGACAGCCAATATCTTAATCATACAACTTATCTAATGCAGTCTATTTTCTTCCTGAAGACTTTGCTCTTGGGATTTCTATGATTGTTTATTTTAATTTGTTTTCATTGTTTTCCTGAGTTAGATCCAATGTTTCTCAGATCCCCTGCCTTCCTCTTTGATTCCTTTTTGTCTGGAGCATGTACTCAAGTAATTTTATTTAGAAAGGTTACATGGGAGGTAAAATTTCTAAATACATGTATAACTGAGAAGTTTTTATTTTGCCCTCACAGTTTTTTTGGAGTTTTTCCAATTACAAAATTATTTTTCCTTTGAATTTTATTGTGTTTTAAGCATCAAGTGTTGCTGATGAAAAGTCTGATTTCAATCTCTTTTTTCTTGTTTTATCTCTCTCTAAACCTTAAGGATCTTTTTATCTTTACTCTTCTAAAATTTCATTATGAGGTTTCAAAGAAGGGGCCTTTTAAAACTTGCCCTTGTTGGTCTTCAGTGAGCATTTTCAATGTGAATTAATGTCTTTCTTGAACTCTGGTAATTTATCTTTTTTTTAAGTTAGGGTTTTTTGGCATTCACTTTGTTTATTCATTTTGTGCCATTTGTTGTGTGCTGTTGGCTTTTTCATTGTCTGGTGATTTTTGGTTACTTACTCATAGTAATTAACGCAAGATTACATTACTTAATATCAGTAGCTTGTAAGGGTTTTTCCTGACATTTTGTAGCTTCTGTTACTCAAGAGTCCTTCCCCCTGAATGGAAGGGCTGGTGGTGAGCTGTGAATGTGAATAAAGAACTGCCAAACTTTATTTCATCATACGAACAGGAAGCAGGCAGGCAAGCGAGGCTTTCCCTCATACTTTTTCAAAATGAGGGGTATCTTTATTCATGCATGCAAGTTTCTACACTAGAATCCTTAGCCTTTTAAAAGATTTCATCACCAAAAAAGTTACCTTTTTTTTTTTTTTTTTTTTTTTTTTAAACGGATTCTCACGTCATCACCCAGGCTGGAGTGCAATCTCAATGCAACCTCTGCCTCCTGGGTTCCAGCGATTCTTGTGCCTCAGCCTCCCTAGCAGCTGAGATTACAGGCACCTGCCACCATGCCCAGCAAATTTTTTTGTGTTTTTAGTAGAGACAGGGTTTCACCATGTGGTCAGGCTGGTCTTGAACTCCTGGCCTTATGTGATCTGCCCACCTCAGCCTCCCAGAGCACTGGGATTACAGGTGTGAGCCATTGCACCCAGCCAAAAATGTTATCTTTTACATAAATTTTTTTCCAATGTGTCATACCCGTGTAAGTCTGAACTGTTTGTTTTGATTGGTCTGGGTTTTCAAAAATAATGTATTGAAAGTATTTTATACCTCATAGAATTATCACATCAATAAATTTTTAGATGCCTTTTTTTTTTTTTAATCTTTTCGAGTTTTCTATCTTTAGAAAATGCCACTTAGATTTTGCTTCCCTCAGTGTCTTCAGGGGATTGGTTTGAAACCCCACCAGATACCAAAATCCACAGGTGCTCAAGTCACTTATTTAAAATAGCAACCTGGCTCAGTGGCTCATGCCTGTAATTTCAGCACTTTGGGAGGCTGAGGCAGGAGAATCACTTGAGTTCCTCAGGAGTTCAAGACCAGCAAGACCCCATCTCTACAAAATATACAAAAATTAGGCAGGTGTGGTGGTGCATGCCTGTAGCCTCAGCTACTTGGGAGGCTGAGGTGGAAAGATTACTTGAGCCTGAGAGGTTGAAGCTGCAGGGAGCTGTGGTCATGCCACTGCAGTCCAGCCTAGGTGGCACAGTGAGACCCTGTCTCAAAAAAAAATATTTAAAAAAGAAAATTAAAATAGCATAGTATTTATATATAACCTACTCACATCCTCTTGTATACTTTAAATCATCTCTATAGATTACTTACAATACCTAGCACAGCAGAAATACTATATAAATAGTTGTTATAATGTATTGTTCTAAAATTTATATTATTTTTTATTGTATGAATTTTTAAAAAATATTTTTGATACACAGTTGGTCAAATCCACAGATGTGGAACATGTGGATTCAGAGAACCAACTGTATATAGTTGATTATATCCCAGAACATAGTGAATTTTACTAAAGTAGGTTTCAGCTAGTTTAGGCAGCCTATTTTTGTAATAGGCTAGTAACACTTACTGATAACTAAAATAAGGGCCTATTCTGCTGTCTTTTATAGATAGGATCAGAATTACAGCTCACTGGGGACAGTTGGCATCTCCTGCTTTGTGAAAGGCTATCTATCCTCTGAGAGCTGTGTGAGCCATTTCTACTTTAGGCAAACTGACTTAACATTCTTTAAGTCACACTTGCCTCTGGAACCTCACAGGCCTCACTTCCAGACCTATTTTAGACCTATGGTATCCGACGTGGCATCCACCAGCCACATATGGCTTTTGAACATTTAAAATGTGGCTAGTTCAACTTTAGGTGTACTGTAATCATAAAATAAGATACCGTTTTCAGCTCAGAAAGGAAAATGGCAAAATAACTTGATATTTAAATTTTTATTTTTTCTTTTTCTTTTTTATAAGCAGACCCATTTAGTATCCATCAATATTGAAATATTGACTTCATCTTGAAATGCTAATATTTTGGGTACATTAGGTTAAATATAATATATAACTGAAATTAATTTTACTTTTTTCTTACTTTTTTTTTTTTTTTTTTGGCAGAGTCTCTGTTGCCCAGGATGGAGGGCAGTGACATGATCTCTGCTCACTGCAACCTCTGCCCCTTAGGCTCAAGCAGTCTTCCTGTGCCAGCCTCCTGAGTAACTGGAATTGCGGGCACCCACCACCACACCTGGCTAATTTTTGTATTTTTAATAGAGACAGGGTTTCACCATGTTGGCCAGGCTGGTTTCGAACTCCTGACCTCAAATGATTCATCTGCCTTGGCCTCCCAAAATACTGGGATCACAGGCATGAGCCACTGCACCCGGCCTTTTCTTACTATTTTCAGTGGAACTACTAGAAATTTTTAAATTACATATGTCTTGAATTTCTGTTAGACAACACTGATCTCAAACATTAAATAATCCCAGCAAATGTGTTTTAGTGTTTAGTAATGATATGTTTAATGTCAGTTAGTCATTTATATCCAAATGTTTGTTCTCCTTAAACCAAAAGCGTATTTAGGCACTCTTTTTCTAAGACCTCACAAATGATAATTTCTTTTATTTATTTTTTATTTATTTATTTATTTATTTTTGAGATGGAGTCTTGCCCAGGCTGGAGTGCAGTGGCGCGATCTCGGCTCACTGCAACCTCCACCTCCCAGGTTCAAGCAATTCTGCCTCAGCCTCCCGAGTAACTGGGTCCACAGGTGCGCACCACCATGCCCAGCTAATTTTTGTATTTTTAGTAGAGACAGGGTTTCACCATGTTAGCCAGGATGGTCTTGATCTCTTGACCTTGTGATCTGTCTGCCTCAGCTTCCCAAAGTTGTGGGACTACAGGCATGAGCCACCATGCCTGGCCTACACATAATAATTTCTTACATCTTCATTTTTATGCTAGCTTTTATGAGATTCATAGTATCATTGTATGGTTTTGTGTTTTTTGTTTGTTTGTTTGTTTACCACAATGGACTTTTTGAGAGCTAATTTTTATTACAGAATAGTTACTTGTTTGCATGTCATAGAGAAGGCACATAGTCATTTTTGTACTATGTTGTTGATACTGAATTCTTAGAAAAGTACGTAACTTTCTGTTTTTCTTCTTGTTTTGATTTTTCTGAGGAGACCACTAAGGAGATTTCTGAATGAAAAAGAGCTTTACAGAAGGTTTTCTTCTTGTTTTTTTTTCTTCCCCAGAGAAGTTGTATTCCATAATTAGAGCTTCTATGATTCTTTCTTTTGTTTCTTGAATAGGAAATAGGCAATGGAAAACTTTTCTGTTTCTTTCATTGCTCATATCTCTTAAAGTAGGGTTCATAGCTGTGATTCTAAAATGTTTGTTGTTGTAATTTTCATAGAAGCACTAAACTAGGTTATTAAGGGCAAATTTTCAAGGGCAAATTTACTAGGTGGTAGGTTAATTATTCCATTGATTATAGAGTTTCGCTGAGTAAACCCACCATTCTCCCAAAACCATTTACAAAAGGTCATCTTCTAATCTGGTCTTTTCAGGCACTTCAGACACCACCTCCAACAATACGGCAACCGTGATTTCCACAGCACCTCCGGCTTCCTCAGCAGTCACATCCCCCTCTCTGAGTCCCTCCCCTTCTGCCTCAGCCTCCACCTCCGAGGCATCCAGTGCCAGTGAGACCAGCACAACACAGACCACCTCCACTCCTTTGTCCTCCCCTCTTGGGACCAGCCAGGTGATGGTGACAGCATCAGGTTTGCAAACAGCAGCAGCTGCTGCCCTTCAAGGAGCTGCACAGTTGCCAGCAAATGCTAGTCTTGCTGCCATGGCAGCTGCTGCAGGACTAAACCCAGGCCTGATGGCACCCTCACAGTTTGCGGCTGGGTAAGGCGCTTTCTCATCTCATTCACATCTGAGGAGGAGGTCATCCCTGGAATTACTCGTAGGGGAGACTTTGCATCACCTGACTTAAATAGGGGGAAAATGTCTTTAAAGCAATAATCTCTTTGAAATGGACTATTTTGTGATCATACAAGGACCTTGATTATAGTTGTTTAAGTTTCTTAACACCCTGGGAAAGGGAGTAGTCATAACTGTTTCCAGAGAAAGACCCCAAATACCAGGTCATTGATTACCTCGGTGACAGGGCCAAGAAGAAAGCCCAGAACTCTTGACTCGTATTTTCCCCATTACGCTCGCTCAACTGCCTACTTCCTAATTCTCAAGCATAGATAAGAGATGTAGTAATGAGAGTCTCAATTTTATACTGTTGTTTTCAAACACTTTTTCTCTAGAATGCTTCTTTCATTTTGGAAAAAAGTAAGTCATTCGAAATGACTTTAAAAGTCTTACATTTTGTGCTGATCATAACCTCATTTGTATGAGTAAGCATCAAGGAAAGCAGTAACTGTGAAGCACTAACCAAACCGTAGAAGAGTAAAGAAAAATAAATATTTCCACCTATTTCCCCAGTTGGATTTTCCTTTTGTAAGTTCTTTTTGGTGTGTTGTCAAAATGAGACCTCCATCTGCATGGTAATAAAGTGACTCCTCTTTTGGACTTGCAGAGGTGCCTTACTCAGTCTGAATCCAGGGACCCTGAGCGGTGCTCTCAGCCCAGCTCTAATGAGCAACAGTACACTGGCAACTATTCAAGGTCAGTAGAAGCTTTCTGCTTACTTTGGTGGCGTGCGTGCGTGCGTGCGTGCGTGTGTGTGTGTGTGTGTGTGTGAGAGAGAGAGAGAGAGAGAGAGAGAGATGGAGGAAGTCTGCTTTGCCAGAGGTAAATGATAGGAAAAGAGTCAAAATACTGGCTAACTTATATTTGAGGACCAAGAAAATGTCCTTTAAAAAAGCTTTGTAAGAGAAGTATAGGTGTTAGTATGTCAGTAAAAGCAGGAAAGATACCTAGTTTAGTATATGGTAAGAAACCAGAACTTTTATGCTGATATTGATCTTATGTGAATAAACTTGAAGGCAGATTTTTCCCCCTGATAAGTTTATCCCAAGTATTAATCTAAAACCCATCTCAAGGCAAACTTGATCAAGTAAGGCTCTCCAATCTCCATCCCCACCCCTGAGAAAGCTGAGCATGGGAAAGTCATATAATAAATGACTTTGGAACATATCAGGTGGACCTCAGGGGTGCTTTTAGTTCTTGTTAGGGTCTGCCCTTTTCATATCCCTGTTTGTGTAGAACATATATTCTCTTGGATTATAATGTCTCTTTTCCCAGTTCAGCTGGGTTCCTTTTACCTTTTAGCATGTTACCCAGGGCAATATTCATTCTATATCGTGAAGGGTTCCCCTTGTTTTGTACCTAAGCTTTCTGTCTAAAAATGTTTACTGTTACGTGATTCAGGGAGACAATTTGAGAGACATCAATAATTAATTGTAGAATTTTTTTTTCTTAAAATTATAATAGTTTTGATGAGAGGCTGAGGCAGGAGGATCACTCAAGGCCATGAGTTTAAGGCTGCAGCGTGCTGTGATATTGCCTGTGAATAGCTTTGTACTGCAGCTTGGGCAACATAGTGAGACCCTGTTTCTTTTAAAAAAAAAAAAAAAAAAAAAAAAGTGGTTTGTGCATAAATGAGAGTTTTCAGGGCCAAAAAATAGCTATTAGCCAACCTAAATTAAGGTTAGTATTTCACAGGTGATATCTCTAACGGTGTACTATAGAGAATGTTAAATTACAGACAGAACCAAACCGTGGCCTAGATTACCTTACATAATATTGACTTTCTGATTGACTAAATCATACCTGAATTGGTTAGCTCTAAAGCTTTTGTTATATAATCATTTTTTTTTTGAATAGAATTTGTGGTAAATCACTTTTTCTTCTGCTTTATTGAATGTTTCTGTGCTGTGGGGATACTACCCAGGCCACATAAATTTCCCAGGGCATGATTGACACTCTGAAAAGATCCAGAACTGGTCTGTGACCCTAAGTTTGAAATCTCAGAAGAAGTTTAAGCTGCACTAAGTCTCACTGTTCTGTACTATTTATATGAGCATGGCCAAAGTCAGAGGCGTTCCCTTCAGCTGTATATTATGTAAGAAATCAAGCAACTGTGTAATGCCATTAGAAAATCCCTCAAATCTACATGTTGGAGTGAGCTTATATGGATGGGGAGATTTAGGAATGTTGTGGGACAGCAGGATGAGATGTTAAATGATAGTCTCAATTATTCTAAATAAAATGCTGATAATGCCTTCTTTGGGAAAGCAACAGCATCATAGAAAATTTCTCACCTATTAAAGCACATCCTAGCTTTAGATCACTTATGTGGGCAACCTACATCATTATGTCTGATTTCCTGCTACAATAGATTCGTCATTCTCCTATGCGCAAGTCATAGAAATCAAATGTTTAGCCTCAGGAAGTGAGAAATTATAACTTTTACTTTATTTGGTGATATATAATTTATTTTAGAACTAAAGCCTTTTTACAAGATGGTTTGCATCTTATAATATGAAGCAGTGGTCCTCAACCTTTTTGGCACCATGGACCGATTTTGTGGAAGACGATTTTTCCACAGCCACGGTGCAGGGGGATGGTTTCTGGCTAACACTGTTTCCACCTTAGATGGTGCTCCTATAAGAATCTAATGCCACCACTGATCTAACAGGAGGCGGGCCTCAGGCTGTAATGCACACACCATTTACCTCCTATTTTTAATGCTTTAGTCACTTTAGCTAGTTTGTCTTTTGAACAGAAGTAGTTTAAAATCGGCAGGAGGTAGTTAAAAATAAAGACAAAATTATTGGATTTATTAAATACGTCTAGGTAAATGAAATAAACTTGAGATTTCAAGATGGAAACATGACTCCAATTCATTAGACAGGTATTAATTCTGTCTTCTACCCCTGCTTGTGCTCATTAAATTAGACATTTCAGTCTTTTAGGCTCTTCAAAATTATAAATAAACTGCAGTTAGTATCAATATAGCACTGTGATTGGGGAAAAATTTCAGTGAAAGGCTACACTCTTTCCCTAGTGAGTGTGATAGACTTTTGATGTGTTATTTGGCTTCCCCAGGATGATATTAATGTTCTCATTCCTGCCTGTTGTTTGGTGTTTTTGTCTGTAGCTCTTGCTTCTGGTGGCTCTCTTCCAATAACATCGCTCGATGCAACTGGGAACCTGGTATTTGCCAATGCAGGAGGAGCCCCCAACATTGTGACTGCCCCTCTGTTCCTGAACCCTCAGAACCTCTCTCTGCTCACCAGCAACCCTGTTAGCTTGGTCTCTGCTGCCGCAGCCTCTGCAGGGAACTCTGCACCTGTAGCCAGCCTTCACGCCACCTCCACCTCCGCTGAGTCCATCCAGAACTCTCTCTTCACAGTGGCCTCTGCCAGCGGGGCTGCATCCACCACCACCACCGCCTCCAAGGCACAGTGAGCTGGGCGGGGCTGGGCTGCCAGAAGCCTTTTTCACTCTGCAGTGTGATTGGACTGCCAGCCAGGTTAATAAACTGAAAAATGTGATTGGCTTCCTCTCACCGTGTTGTGAGGGCAAAGGAGAGAAGGGAGAAAAATAAAACACATACCAGAAAAAAAAAGAAAGGATGGAGATGGGACATTTGCCTAATTTTGTAATAAAACACTGTCTTTTCAGGATTGCTTCATGGATTGGAGAACTTTCTAACCAAAAATTAAAAAAAAAAAAAAAAAGAAACAAAAAATCAAAAACAAACAAAAATAAGTGAAAGGACTACTTATCATTTCCAGCAGTCATGATGACAAGTTAAGGTGAGTTACCAATTCCAGTATAGGAAGGGGATTTCTTGTTTGTCTAAATTTCTTTTTTCTTAAAAAAACAAAATCATTTTTATGGGTCTGTTGTACAGGCCATTAAGTCATAACAAGGTGTTTATAATCGTATCAATTGTGTTGGGGGTTCCTTTCTTAACTGGTACAATTTAGGCAGGCCTGTATTACTGTATCTCTATTATTGTTGTTGTTGTTATTGTTTTATATATATATATATATGTGTGTGTGTATATATATATATATATATAGTTTGGACATGTTTATTATCTCTCGCTCCTGGATCCTATTTCAGTGAGCTCCCACACTGTGGGGAGGGAGGGTTTTAGGGTAAGGGGAGACTTCTGTTCTTAACTGCGGGGAATGTTCTTGCTGGTTTCCTTATCCTTGATGACTCTTACAGAGGTGCTAGAAAATTATTTTCTTTTGCCACTTATGCAAGAGGCTTGGTGCAGAAGCTGAAGGCAGTGTGTGCAAACACTCCCATTCCACACACGCCCCTTCCCCTCCCCACATCAGGTGGTGCCTTTGGAGCACTTTTGTGTAGGAAGGAATTCCTGCTGAATTGTAGCTCTCACTCACCCCCAAATCATTGAATGACCCTGAGGCCCAGATCCTGTGGTGCAACAGTGCTGCTTTCTGCTACTTTCAATGGGAACAGCTGTACATGTTGCAGGGCAGGATTTGGTTCCGAAGAGCAAAGACTACTGCAGACACCTGACTTGGTGGTTCTCCTGATTTCTTATCTCCTGAAAAAATGCTCCTACTGTTGGTGTGTTTGTTTGTTTGTTCCATTTTGTGGAAGTTTTTCATCCAAACTTTCTTTAACTTGGCCAAGAAAAAAACTGATTTATTGAAATTGGGAAACTTTTCCCTTCTTTTCCATCAATAATATATACAAAAGAGGTGTGATGAGAAGAGTCAAAAGTTACCACTTTTTCCTCTAGAGAGCCACAGACTTCTTTCTACTGGATGGCTTATAAATTCCTCTAACCCTGAGATTCCTCTTGGTTCTCTAACTAAAGGAGGCACTTACTAGCCAGGCTGGGATCTGTAGAACCTTTGAAGAAGGACTTTGAGCAGGAACTTTGCACATACCTTAAGTGTCTCCTTGGTTTGTTCGTGACGCTCCTGCTAGGTAGGGCTAAATGGCAATACACATCTCTTTATTCAAAGTAGAAAGTGATTAGCTCCTGTAATTATTTTCAGGGTGTTTCTAGACTATATAAATGAGCCCATTGAAAAGGAAGAGCTTGTGAAAGTGGATGAAGAGGAATAAGGGTAACTTGGAGATTAAATTCCCCTCTTTGTCAGTGTAATGTTGTTATGCCATCTGTATCAAAAAAAAATTTCCAAAAGACTGGATCGCTGCAGTGCAGTTCATCTAAGTTCCCCCTCTTATTGGAGACAAAGGTTCCCATTTGGTGTCTGTGGGTGCTTGCTTAAATCTGTGGTGGTCCCAAGACTGCACTTTTTCTCCCTTTTGAGCTGGGGATGTAGAGAGAACTTGCAGGTGACTTGTTCTGATGGCTTTGTTTGTGTCTACAAGGGAGCTTGGATTCTGTGTATTTTTTTCTCTACCATTGTCCAGAAAGGCAGTAAATACAGGCACAATGTGTACTTTGTGTGTGATTCAAGTGGGAGACAGTCTGTTAAAAGGTCAGAAACATTTTAGTTCCCTTTAAATTTTTTTTTTAGTATTTTTTCTATCTTGTTTTATTTCACAAAGTATTTAATTACCACCCCCAAATTTCCTCCTCTTACCCTTCACCTTCCCTAAAATCCTTCCAAAATCAGTGAACTGCAAGCAGGGAAACTAACAAATATCCATTCACCCTTTTGTGTTATGTGTTTTTTATGTTTTGTTTTGTTTTTTAACTAAGCTTGAACCAAAGTCAATTTTTAGCAAGCTGCTGTACTAATGGACTAGTTTATAACGTGCAGTTCAGACACATCGAGGAGATAGATGCTACTGACAATTTCTTTTTCATTTGTCTTTGTTAATTTTATATAAAAGTTGCTGCTTGTTTTTAATCTTTTATGTTGGTAAACTGTAATATCCTCTGGGCAGACATTAACACTTGATGTTTAGTTTATTAGGTTGGTGTGTAAATAGAATGACAATGTCAATTACTAATTTCTCTCCTCTCCCTCTCCATCTACTTTTTCTCTGTTGTAGTTAAATTTATTCTTCTATCTTAACTTGACATTTAGTCCGTGCAAATGATTTGAGGGCTATCAGTAATGCTGTAGCTGCCCATAGTAATGAGTCCCTCCCTTGGGAGTGGTGAAACTTAGAAAGAAGGATTCAGGGAGGGAAATGCTGATACCCACTATACTGGATTAGAAGTTATAGCATTAATTTCTCAAAATTGCTACCAAAGGAAGTGTGGAGTCCCAAGGGACTCAAGCTCAGTGAGTTAAGAGAAAGGGCAAGGAAAGGCTATTTGGGTTTTTTTTTCCCCTACATATAGTTTAGAAAATGATCTCTTCCCCAAACAAAATTCACCAACAGACTTCAATATTAGAAAAGATACTAAGCTTTAAATGTCAATACAATGGTCTTTTATTCCCTGCCCTGTCTATATTTTCTACTCAATTTGGGATTAGGAGATTCTGCTTTTTTTTTTAACGTGAAGCACTTGATGACAGTAGACCAGCATAAAAGTTCTGTTTAAAAGAAGAAATAATTTTTAGGCAAAGATAAATCTTTGGATAAAAGTAAAATTTTATCTCTTTTACTTATTTAAAAATAAGTGAAATGAAAGGTACATTTACACATGTACACACGAAACACTAATATAGGTTTTTGGTTGGTGTTTAGTTTAAAATCAACTCCCTATCCACCATCCCTAGATATTCTACTGATCATATTGCTTCGTGAACACCTTAGTCATTTTTTACTTCATGTGTTTTTTTGTTTTTTTTATCATGTCAAGAAATGCATTTGGAATTGAATGAACTATCTTCTAAGCTAAGGTACTCAAACTTAACTTTTAGCCACCCTTCATGGGAGAGCCTGCAAACTAACGGGGGCCAGGGGGCCATTTGACCATAAAGAGGTATTTGGTGGAGTATCTGCATTTCAAAGAAGAAAGCCAGATAGGTCATCACAATTCATTGTATCATTCTTCTTTTTTTCCCTTTAATGTTTATGCAAATTTTATTTTATATTTCTGAATTTGGTTAGCACATACTAAGCCAAAGACTAATTCTAAATGCATTTATAGTGAATACTATATATGCCCATGGTAATGGGTCCTCTCTAAGGAATGGTGAATGTAATTGTGTGAATCCTGCTTATCTAAACAAGTGGTGCAATTTGGTCATAAACTTTATTTATATCCTGTATACATCCGAAGAACAGAGCAGAAAGACCTAAAAAAGGGCTTCTCACAGGAACAATATTACTATATTGTTCTAAGAAATAAGTTGAGTGCTGTATTAGTTTCAGTGTTTCTGCAGTTCTATAGGCAGCATTTTAGAATTAAGAAAAACATTGTGTATATCCATTAACTGATATAATATACACATCCTTTCATTTGTTATCAGAAAGATGAGTACTATCCCAATTTATTCAGCTTGTTACTCGAGAAATGGAACCAAAGGAATGCAACTTTGATTTTGTATAGAACCATACCTATTTATACTTCATGCTAGCATTATAAGAAATCTTTTTTGTTTTAAAAAAGGGAAGATAAAATTAAAGATTCTTAGTGAGATTATCTTGCCAATTTGTTGTACATCTCTCATTCATTGTTGGGGAAAAAAGCACAACTATACCTCTTTAATGTTATTTTCTTCCATTATCCCTCATTTATTTGGGAAGATAAGGGAAACCTTGTCTATATTATCCAGAAGCACAGGTTTGCTTAACACAATATTTAAATTCAGCCCACTCTTTAACATTAAACAGTTTTCTTTTTAACTTGCTGGAAAAGTTGGATACATTGGCAAATATAGGGAATTCGTGTCAATTTTTATTTTATTTATTTATTTATTTATTTCTCGAGATGGAGTCTCACTCTGTTTCCCAGGCTGGAGTGTAGTGGCGCAGTCTCAGCTCACTGCAGCCTCCGCCTCCTGGGTTCAAGCGATTCTCCTGCCTCAGCCTCCCGAGTAGCTGGGATTACAGGTGACCACCACCGTGCCCGGCTGATTTTTGTATTTTTACTAGAGATGGGGTTTTGCCATGTTGGTCAGGCTGATTTTAAACTCCTGACCTCAGGTGATCCACCGGCCTTGGCCTCCCAAAGTGCTGGGATTGCAGATGTGAGCAACCGCCCCATCCTCATGTCAATTTTTAAAGTGATAAATCCTGATATTATACATTGCAATTAGTGTAGACTAAACGCTTGGCTTACAGAACTCTCTGTTCATAGTCTAAAGCTGTTCCCAAACCAGGTCATCCTAATGAAACATTTTTGACCAAGAAGAAAGATAAGGTCATTGAGATAGAAAGACACAGAAACCTCTTGTTTTTGTTTCTTCCCAAGAAGGGAGAAGCCCTGCTAGGGAGAAGTCAGTAGTATCACTGACTCACCCTATCACTGAGTGTAGGCTGTGATAGCAAGGAGGAGGCAGGGGTGTTGTGCTGACCAGTGGCTGTGGCTTGGCTCTTGGGAGGCCTTCCAAAGACCAGTCTGCAGTTTGAGGAAGGGCCCCCAACAATTCATTTGGAGAGCTTGGTCAAGTGCTTTCTCATTAAATTGGCATCTAAACTTGATGAATTTAAAGTTTTTTTATTCTTCAAATCCTGTTTATTAGAGTTGAAAACATTAAAAGATGACTAATACTAATGGAAAAAAAAATACTAAAGACCCAAAATTTAAAATTTTCCAAAATGGACAAGACGATGGGTTAATTTGCTCATGACTGATATGAGTTCACGTTTATGTGAGTATGTGTGAAAAGCATTTACTGCGTGATGCTGTTCATAGCCCTGGCTGTTGGACCTCATTTTCAGTTTTCTAGCATTTGAGGATGACACTTTATAAAATGGTAAATCTTTCTTAGCATTTACCTTCACTTTTGAGAAGGGAAAAAAATCCTTCTTTGCTGTTTCTGTAAGAAGAATAACTAAGATCAGCTATTATATAGGTTGCATGGATGGTGTACACAATACAGATGTAATCTTGGACAGGAATAGGATAAATTGCTTTCATCATAAAGGCTAATCATTTATTTCTTCATCCAAAGACATTAAATAAGACACCCCTGAGATTTCCAGTAAGGTATTTGAAAGGATCCCACTGGGCGGGAGGGCAGGGAATATGTTTTTTCTCAGAATCGTCCAGTTTGTACCCAGTTTTCTATATGGTTTTTGAACTGTAACTTTTTTTATTTTTTATTTTTTTGTAGTTTTCTTCTAACTCTCCTTATTCTTTAAGTAGTTTCTTGTTTTGGTCCTTCTACTCTTGGCCTTTGCTAAAAGCAGTAAATGTGAGTGGATTTTATGTTGATTATGTCATCTGGGTCTCCTTTCCTTCCCTTCTTTTTCTCATTGAATGGTGGTACCTTAATTTGGGTAACAGCTCGCTCTGGCACCTTCATAAAATACCTCAGAATAGCTTAGCATTGTTGCAAAACTGGTTTTAAACTAAAAACCAAATAAAAGAAAAAACTTTATAAATAGTGGAAATAATCTAGCTGTAGCATTTAGTTGAACTAATGTTTATTACAATTGATTAACATGATTGATGCTGTATGTATTTGGGATCCTGTTTATAGGTTACAATTTATAGGGTTAGGGAGGGTTGGGTGGGGCAAGAGGAGAAGTTGATTATGTTAGAAGGAAAATGTTGCTCGTGTGTGTGTTTGTTTTTTCTTATATCTGTCTTGCCAAAGGAAACTTGATTTTCCCTGTGACTGGCTTTGGCCTCTCTGTGGTCTGATCTGCAGCAGTGTGTGGTGGCATGCAGGTAACATATGGGGTGTCCAGTAGGTTCAGGGAACCTGAGGGTGCATTTACATCCCTTCCTATGGTTGCTCATGCCCCCTAGACCCTGCCAACCTCTCCTAATGATTCGTTACCTCTGTACATAGCAAAAGCATAGGCAAAGGATGAATGTGTGAATGCCTGGATATGCAGTTGAGAAATAGAGGCAGAAATAGACATGCACCAATTAATTTGGAGCAAAGAGGTGAGTGATTGATGTGTCTTAAATCTAGGCAAGTTAAAGTGAAACAGGTTCTTTGTGTTACCGGTACTCTGTCAGGTTATTGAATGTTGTGCTAGTAACAACATTTTAAAACCCTACTTACTTTTCTCGTACCAAGGCTAGTTCTCTCTAGACCAAAAACACAAACAGGATAAAAAGCAAACCAAGAAGTTGAAAGTTAACCTGCCCACCTCACCCCTGTGATACAAAGTGTGACCCTCAAGGATTGGTTGGTGGGATTGAGGAGAGAATTATTCTTGGTGAAGACGTGAATGAGAAATGATACTGGCTTAGAAAAAATTACAAGCCCTTTCTGCCCATACTGTGAGACAAACTTTCTTGGTTCCCTGAGTTCCAATGTAGACTGTATCTCCAGAAAGGCTGTTTTTTTAGATAAATGATCTCACAGAACTTAAGTGGGATTTGGTTTAGACACCAAAGACACTGCTAATGTCATTGCTTATCCTTAAAGTTTTCAGAACAGACAGAGGGAATAGGAGCAAAAAGCCAAAATTTGGAAAAGCTTTACTTCATCTCTTCCCTTCCCCTTTTCCCAGTCCCCTGCTTTTTGAAGGAAGTCTTCTTGGTTATCCTGGCTTTGGAAAGGAGATTTATTTTGTTTTGCTCTGCTGGCTGTTCAAGGATGGATAGTTGCTCAGTGTAGCAGTGATGTTCCTGGAATTGCTGAGAAATTTGGGGAGGGCAAAAGATAGGGGTAGGATTTGTTCATTACTTCCCTTTATCTAATACTTATAAATAGAACCAATACAGCCTATATGAGTTCAGACAATATTTAGATTTGCTATCTCCATCTGTCTCCTGTAAAAGATAAGAATTTTCAAGAACAGGATTATGTGGAAAACCAACAGATCTTCCCTTACTCTCCTGTAAATGTTTTGTTCCAAAATGTTTTTATATATGGGCTCTAGGGAGTCAAGTAGTTCATTGTTTCGGTGTACTATTGATAGGACACAGAAATGGGGCGAGGGTAAAGAAATAGATTGCTCTCTGAATATTGCATCAAAAATGATCAGGTTGCAGAACTTCATAAAAGCTTTACTAATAATCTTATTGTTCTGACATTATGTAAAGGTGGTATTAATACTGTATGAGTTTTCAAAGTGCTAGATAGGTTTATAAGTAGGTAATAGGGATGTTGAAGGTTAGAGCCCTTGAAACAGAAGTTCTGGGAAAACAAGGTGTATGTAATGGAACACTGCTTTGAGCACAGAAACAAAGGTCCCTTGGGCCTAGGAGGGAAGATGTGATTTGTGATTGTTTCTGTGTCCCTGAATCTACCCACCCTGCACAGGGCTCCACCACCCAATGCCACCTTCTGGTTTAAACCCAGGACATTGTCAGAAAGTTAACACCCCAAAACTAATTTACGTTAAAAAACGTTAAGGTCTGCTGCAAAGTTTTCCCATGTTTTCTTGGTTTACTTGTTCATCATTCTGTAAGTTAGCCACAGCCTCACAAGAGCAGCTTAAGGCTTCTTTCATAAATTGGCAGCAGCATTTGAGTTCTCAAACATTATATCCCAAAGTCTGCAGGCAGACAGCTGGATACAGTGCTGAGTTTCTTAAGATTGGGATCTCTTTCAAATGAAAAAGGACAGAGCCAAGTAGAGAAAAGACTTTGTGCTCCCACCCAGCCTTAATGAGTCTCATGGTCTAAAAACAGGAAGAAAAGAAATGCACTTTCAGAAGCTAAAATGACAGTGTCTGCTAGAAAAGCTGTAGTTGTAGGCAGTGAGGGTGCCATGTCCTTGGTTCCATTCCTGCATGAGTGTGCGGAAGGCACACACTTTCTAAGAGTGGAGAGGACTAGTGCCAGCCCGGATGGGTTTAAAACTGCAAACAGTTGGCGAAAACAGGATAGGTTGGTGCAGGGAGCGTAACAACATTGGCTTTTGACAACGGAAATGGTGTATCTTCCCTAAGGGCAGGCCAGGGAAAGAAAGACTTCAGCTTCTTACCTCTGCATGCATGGGCATATGTGCATTGCGCAGTCCACAGGAGGTCTCACTCTGCAGGAAATGCTCTCCTCCCGCATTAGTCTGTCCTTCCATCCCTTCATCTGTGGTCGTAGTGAAGGCTAGGTAAGTAAGCGTGGGCTGTTCTACCCGCTAGAAGTCCAGGAGCTGTTGTATACCTCATTTCTAACTCATGACCAAGTGACTTGCTTTAACTTTCTCGAAACCCTACAGAGTTGCCAAGTCTGCCCTCCCTCCTCTCAGTCATGTTAAACTCTGGCCTATAGCATCATGGGACCTGTAGTCTAGGGTGGGACCCCCTAAAGCTTCTGAATGTCGCTGCTTTAAAGCTACTGCATACTGAGGGCAAATTGCAATCTTCTGTTCCTTTTTGTTGCAAGGGGTCTTCACAGGTCTCTTAACATCCGCTTTCCCGGCCACCCTGCCTTTAGGGGCTGGCCAGCTATCCACACCCCTGCCCCACCCTGCGTTTCTGACAGCTGGCCACACGTCAACTTCCGTACTTGCCTTTTCCTTGGTGGGGTAGAGGCCAACCCCTTCTCCTCTGAGGCCTCAGGGTTCTGTTTCTTTTCAGGACTTTGGGTAGAAGGGAAAACACCAAAGGCTCCTTTAAGCTGACTGCTGCATACACATTTCACTTTTTTTCCTTTGATATGACCAAAAATTTCCAAATATTTAAGTTTATCATTAATATTATTATTATTTGACAATCTCGTATCCAGTGGGCTCTCTAGAAGCTGCATCCCCAGCCCTTTCACCTTTTCTTTGAATGTAGTTCCCAACCTTCAATTCCCACCCCTCATGCTGACAAAAAGCTTAGCCAGGTCATGATACTGCTGCTATAAGCCAAGGGAGGGTGGTTTCTTTGTTTTGTTTTGTTTTGTTTTTTTAAAATTTCCAGCCAAAACCAAAGATTTCTTAATGATTGTATAAACTCAAAACAAACAAAAGAACCAAAGAAAAGGGAAGTCTTCAGCATCAGTCCAGCCTGTGGTGTCCTGGCAGTTGGAAGAGTGAGGCCAGGGAAGGTGGGCGCCCTCTGACCGGATCAGAAAGGGCAGGCAAGCTGTTTTCCACCTTCCAGGGTCCTGCACAGGTGCATGCCCCTAGCTTTGGCCCTCGCAAACCTGTGAGCATGCCCTGAAACAAATTGGCATTTCAGATTTTCCAAAACAAAAGTCAAAAAATCCCATCATCACCATCATCCACCCTATACCAACCAGGGTCACTATGGGGACTTAACACAGGGCCTCAGGAGGGTGGGAGCTGCTGCTGGACTGGCCCGAGGACTCCACAGAGTGGGGGACGCTGAAGACACTGGCGCATGATTGGCTGCTCTGCTGGGTGCTTTAACCTCTGGGGCTGGGCGAATGCACGCCAAGGTGCCCTTCTGAGCCGTTTTTCTCTTTCCTTTACTGGAACTGCTTGGAAGTGGCCGTCCTGTTTGTGAGAAAACGTGCAGAAAGATGGTCAAGCTTTTCATTTCTCTCGATTGTAGTTTTGTTTCCTTTTTGCAGCACCACTGTGCAACTATGCATTGTACTTCACAACCTTTTGTGCTAGGTAGATGCCTGTGACTTTTTAACTTGGGGGGTGGGGGGATTGCAAATGAAGGAACTTTTTACATGGATCTTTTTAATCTCAGTTGATTGGGGGAGGGGGGAACTTGGTTCTTGGGTCATACAAGCTCTATCCCAAAGCAAAATCCAAATGTTAATAATATTAGCCTGATGCAGATACCAAAGATAATTTCTTTCCTGCAGAACCTTAGACTTGTGTATTAAGTACGATTACCCAGCACTTGCATTAGTCTAACCTCAGTAATTCCAAAGCTTAGATGTATATTTTGGTATATTTCTGGGATATTAAAAAAAAAATGTCGTTTAACTTCTTGTTTCAGTGTAATGCTCTTAAAAGTCATAGCATGAAAATAATTGAACTGTCCTATTCTTAGTAGTTTGAAATAATAGTATTTTTGTATGTTTTGGGTGTGTCTATGTATGTATTAACATAACAGTTTTCACTGCCTAGGTGTTCATAATAAAAAAGAAAATGAAAAAGTTCTGAGTGTACATAATATTCAATAATAATCTCCCACCAGGTGTCAATTTAGATTGCATATTCCTCATTACTGTTCCCAACTGGGATTTTGTTTTCTTTTAAAGAGACAGTGATCGTGTCTTTCTAAAGATGTTTTCTTTCTCTCTCTCTTTTAATATCTTAACTCACTTTTTCTTCCTTTTTTGTCTTAATTATTAATTCAGGGGTGCTTGTCCACTGTTGTCAACGGAAGGGCACAAGGGGAATTGGCCCCTTGGCCTCCGAGAACTTTTTGTTTTATGTACTTTAAATGTGAGTTTGAGTTGTTCTTTGTGGAAACTTAAAACGTGGTGTAAATGATTCTTTCCGAAATTGTCCAGCAGCTTTAATGAGGCAGTGACAATTCTGAGGTGGTTTGTTGGGAGTCCTTCTACATTTCTCTTACGTAACCTGCACTCTGGGTGGCTGTTGTGTAGCCGTACTGCCCCAGAGCGCCTGTTAGCCAAATATTTCCCCTCTGATAAAAATATTTTCTAAGAATCAGCTGATAACTTGGTGTGCTGGACCTTGTTATCTGTGCCCCTGGGAAACACGTTTTCTTGGTTTTGAAAACCTGAAACACAGGCAACTTTACATTTTGGGGAATTAGCTGATGCCTCCCGAGGCTTGAGGAGGTGGCGGGGAATATGAGCGGTGCTGTCTCTCTCAAAGTGCCCTTTAGATGATTCCCCCTCCTAGGGCTGCCTGCAGGGGCTGTAGGCTTGGGAGAGATTGTGTAGGTGACAGTGAATCAGAATGAAATGGTAGATTTTGTGTAGATGCATTTGTCTGCTGTAATTTTTTATATATATTAAACTTACTGTAACTGTACAGTTTCTTTCTGTTGTAAAACATCATTAAACCATTTTCCAAGTGTTTTGACATTGTTGGAGTTTCTTTGAAGTTGCCGTGTTTTGGTATTCTGGATACTTCACACACACATTCTCAGACCCTACGCATAATTCATCTCCCAAATTATTTTTTCCAAGTGCTCTCAGGAATCCCAGAATCACCATAAGCACCTTGGTTCCTGCCCCACTCCACCCTGCCTTTTACCCTTCAGGCTTCCTCACCTTTTGTGAGGGAAACTGACTTTGGTTGTCCTCCATCTCTTCCTCACCCGGTGCACGGAGACATTTCACACTGTGGCGTCAGCTGCTGTGCATAACTCCCAGACACCCTCTGCTTATGTGCTGCCTATTCTGATGCCTGAGTGCCAGGCTGGCCTCTCTCCCCCACTTGTTTTCCTGTACCCCACAAGCTGGCGCTGGCTGCAGGGCTCCTTTCCCTTAGCCCTCTCTGGTTCTGGCACAAGCCTGGGCCAGTACTGACACATTGTATTGCACCGAGCCCAACTCTAAGGCACAGCTCCCCAGCCTGGATGCCCAGCTCACTTGCACTGTGTGACCCTGCCTCCAAGGACGCACCTGTGCTCACGTGCTGGTTCCCAGGAACGGTCCTGTTCTCTCCCAAGAATCAGCAGTTCTGCTCCCCTCCTCCCCCAAGGGCAACCTGCCGATTGATGACTAAATTGCCATTACAAGCTTGACTGCTGAAATAAAGCTTAAAGCAAAGCTGCATTTTCACTCAAGCATTTATTATGCAAGGTAGGAAGGCTTTAGCATGCCAGTATAAATTAAAACAGTAGAAAAAAGGCAGAGCAGAGAGCGTTTTTCATCCATGGGCTGTGCCTTGTAATGACACAGCAGTGTCCCAGCACATTGACTGGGGTTTTTCCTGTCCTGCCACTGTCTGCTGGGCAGTTACAGGTCCCATGGTGCTGGGTCTTCCTGTGAGGCCTTCGCGATGATGGTTTTGTCATTTACTGAAAGCCTGAGGCGAATCAAGGGCCTTCTCTTGCTCCCAGGCACTTTGTTCACACCGTGGAACCATACTGTTCTTTATACCACTTTGTGCACAGCTCATCAAGGGTAGTCTTGTTCATCTTCCAGCCCCCATAGCACGTGGCAGTTCAATGGTGTGGCACAGAGGCCCCAGGCAGGGAACTCCCCCCCCACCCTGCTGCCCTCGAAGGCCCTAGCTGAGCCTCCCCTGCCTGCCCACCTTCCCTTGCCCCTGCAGCTCCCTGGCTGCACCTGACCTAGGCTCCCTTCCTGTCTACCCCACTGCCTGGCCCTCTCACCAGGGAGGGAGGTGCAACATGGCCCAGTACAGTTACCTTGAAAGGAGGTGAAGGTGATAACAGAAGCCAAATTTACAGCAGGGGTGAAGCCACTCAAACATTGACTGTACAGACATTAGGGCAAGTGGTAGCATCTGCGGTTTCTCTGGGGCTTTTACAAAACACTCAACTCAGCTGTAAGAGACGGCATGCCAGCCTCCCAGGGAGAACACGTAGCCACCAGGAGACAGGTCTGCCTGCACCACTGGCAAATCAGAGGGCCCAAGGCCAGGGCCATGAGCCCTGGGGGCACACTCCCTTAAAGAGTGCGAGGACAGCAGTCTCTGATGTTTTGGAGCTGAATATGACCAAAGCATCCTGTACATGAAGGGTAATACTTTCGTGGCTGAGATGAGTGAACCAGGTTGTAAATGCTTTATCCTGTGTCTCATAATCTGGATATCTGCAGGTCTGGCCTTTCAGTGGTGAAATACCCTGGCTGTTAGCGAGGGGGCAGGGCCTGCATGTGAAGGGCGTCGTAGGTGTCCTTGGTGGCCGTACTGAGTCCCTGGTGAAAGCAAATCAGAAAAGAGTGGGTCAGCAGCCTCAGTGGGCAGAAGCGAACCCGGAGGCCAACAGGTGTCTGCAGCACAGTCCCGTGGCCACCCACCCAGCCTCCAGAGGACCAGGAAGAGTCCCGCTGACCCCACTGGTGGGAGCCTCGGCTGCGACAGCTTCGAGAGGTGGGTTCTGTGCCCTGCTGGGAATGGCCTTGCTGCAGCTCCTTTCCAGCTCAGTTCTCACCCCTCTTTTTAGCTCCTCAAATTCTGTGCCTTACAGTGCCTGGGCCCTGCCAAGTTCATGTCACACCTAAGAGAGAGGAGTCTCCCACCTTCCACCCTGAGCAGGAATCAGGGGAAGGGCCCGGGCCTGCTCCAGAGCATCTGCTGTCCTGATACCTGGGCCCAAAGGAAGCCTGGACTTGTCACAGGGAAAGGAGAGCCTCCTTCCCAGTCCCAGCTATTCCAGTATTTTCTTGGTCAGGAACAGGCCCACAAGGCTGGCCCCAGACCTGCTGGAATTCCTGTCTCCCTGGTCCAGGGGCCAGGAAGGAGTTGGATCAACAGCAGCCACACACAGGTAAGTTCCTGGGGCCCTTTTGATATTGCTCAACTGAGGTAAGCTGGGCATCCCGACACTGGAGTCAGAAGAGCGAGCTATGACAGCCCATGGAAGCCAGAAGGAGAGAAATGAGAACCTGTGGGGATCATATTTTAGAGAAGTAGGTTGATTGCTTAGTTTGCATAGTTACTTGCACTGACTTGCAAAAACCAGGCACCTAACTACATAATGTTTTCTTTTTGAAGTTGTCATTTTTCTTAACTTTTTTCCTTCAGTCTTCCCAGCCATCCTCTCATCTTACTAGGTCTAAGGAAATGACACAGAGCAAGGGTTCTGCAAGGACCCAGAAAGGCAGGATCATCACTCGTGTGGTCCTTTGCCTCCACCTGCACCTGCCAGGGGGCTGCGCACCTCCAGACAGCTGCTGCTGTGTCTGCCGTGGCCAAACAATGCATGGTTGGAATCAAGTAATTTGAATGGCTGAGTCCCAGCTGTGCTCTAGAGACTTATTGGCAGTGGCATTGCCACTGGCCTGAATGGGTGCCCTGGCCTTGCTCTGCCCAGCTGCTGGCAAGAGCTGGTGCCACCAGCAGGCAAAGTGTGGGGGCCTTGATCGTGGTGCCCCTTCCCTGGAAGGGACGCCGGCAGCTCCTACCTGGTAAAGGCCGTCGTGCCCCTTGCCCCTCCGGCGCTGGTTCTTTGGGAGTGAAATGAGAAACGGATGAGAAAGGCAGTCAGCAGTGGCATTTCTGCTCAAGGGCCCCTCCCAGGGTACCCAGGAAGTCAGAGATAACTGTCTCCCAGCAGCACCCCTGCCCCTGGAAGAGAAAGATCCTCGGGCCCCTGGTCAGACCCTCATCTCTGCTGCATAAAGTGAGGCCTGGCCATGGTGGGGTTCGGGTTTGCTCCACCCCACTCAGATCTTTACAGCCAGCAGATTCCTAAGGTCTAGGGCCTGTAGGACCTGTGTTGCCCACTGCTTGGATAAATGGACTCCCTTCAGCTCTTAAAGTTCTTGGCTAGTCATTTCTGCTGACAACCACTGTTTTGACCAGTTACGAGCTCTGGCTCAGTCAGTTCAGTCACGCTCCCCTGTTTACTAGCTGTAAGACCTTGGGTAAGTTACTTCATCTCCTTGTGCCTCGCAGGGCACATGTTTCTCAGTGCGTTACTGTGGGAATTAAATAAAACTACAGAGAACCCCTGTTTGGAAGGGATCAATGCTTCACTCTCACCATTTTGAAATTCTTAATTGTTGGTGAAGAAGGGGTCCCACATTTTCATGTTGCCCTGGGACCCGTGGTCCTGAGCACCGAACACAGCAACACATAGTAAGCACTCGGTGCTTCCTGTTATTAAAACAGACCTGCTTTTGCAAAGCTTAGGCTGTCACAGAATCTCGATTTGGTTTTCAATCCTCAAAGAGCATCAGCCCTTCCTTGGTTTCTTAACGTTCTGACTGGGTGACAGCCAGGTTCGCCTTCACCTCTGATGGCCAACACTTGGGCATTTGCAGCTGGGATGAGAAGTGGGTGGGAAAGGAGGCCTGCAGCAGGAGTGTCTGGAGGACCACGAGGAACTCCCTTGGGAATTAAACAGCAGCACTCACCTCGCCTTTCATCCCGATCTCACTGTAGGCCTCTGCCATCTTATCTTTCTGCAGTGCCTGAGGAAGAAAAGAGCATGGGGCACTGATTTTCACCAACTAATGCAGAAGGCAGCAGGCTCCCCTACAAGAGGAAGCTTCTTGATCCCCAAGTTGGCAGCAGTAACGGGGAGGGAGGGCGCCACAATCATGGCTCCAAACCTTATGCACACAAACTTCTCTGCCCACAACCAGCTCCAGTCCACCCACCTCATCCTCAGCCCTTTGGAGTCTCTGAGCTGCCAGCCCTCTGCACTGAGCTGAGGAGCTCGGGTTAGGCTCAGAAAGATAGGATGTGGAGTTCTAGACAAAGACACAGAGACTGGACAAAACAAAGGCTCACCTGGAGCCCCAGCATCATTTATCTGAGCAAGTTGTCTCTTTACACAGCCAAACCCACTGGCTGTGGATCAACCCTCCCTCCTCACGGGAGGCTGCAAGAGTCCCCTGCAAGGCAACCCAGGTCAATAATCAGGGTCACACCCAGGAGGGTGAGGTTGACCTTCCAATAAGGGGGGACACTCAGAAGACTTAAGCACCCAGGACAGGAGACCCTCCAAGGGACCAACCCCTCGTTCTTGCCCAGCTTGACCTTGCTGTGTGCCGCTACGCTCCAGGCTGATTGACTTGGGAACTCCAGCAGCAGGGGTCGGGGAGGGAGATCACTCCGCACTTTTTAGCTAAGGAGCCTTTCTAGAAGCAGATACTGCTGCAGGCCGCAAGAAAGTGAGGCACTACTCCCCCCAGGAAGGGACGGTCTGGACAGACAAAGACCAAGGAGTATGGAGCAATGCCTTCCTCCGGCACCCTTCCCCCGGCGCCCTTCCCCCCGCGCCCCTCCCCCGGCACCCCTCCAACTTTCCAAAGTCAAATGTGACATCTCCTCTACTTACATTGTACAGGCCTTCCTGAGGGTTCTTCCTTCTCTGCTAGAAAAGACAAAGGGAAGACGTTAGAGGGAGAGAAACACAAACCCAAGCCACGAAAGTAAGCAAGCCCCATCCTGCCCTCCCTCACCAGCCACAACCCCCTGGAGCTCTGCTATCCTCTCTCCTCCTTGTGCTACCCCCAGCCTTGCCTAGGCCACTGCTGGGGACCGACTGCACTACATGGCTCACACTTGGTTACTGCAGTTGGATACACTTCGCTCTCCCAGAGGGGCACACCCAACCCCATGTTTGGTGGGGATAAGCCCGTAGATTATCCATCCCCTTGCAGACAGACCCCCATATACATCACAAGCTGGCAAGTGGGACTTCTGGCGGAAGACAAAAGGTGCCGCATACCATCATTTGGAGCAGGGCCAGCCACTGCTAGTGAGGTCCTCCCCACACCCTCCTAGTCCAGACAAGAGCAGAGGAGGCAAGATAAACTTTGACAGTGGGTGAGGAGTGGTCAAGGAAATCTACAGCCTCTCTATTCACCCTAGCAACAGCACAACCAGCAAGGGCTCAGCCTGGACGGGGGCTGGAAGGACAGGCGTGACCACTGGCAGCATCAGGCAGCACTGCCCTTACACCAGGACAACCCTGGCCTTTGTCCTGAGGCCTGCTCTTAAGAGGACGCTAACAAGCCAAATTTAACAACACTTTACATCATTCACTGTGATCAAGTGGGATTTATCTCTGGGATGCAAGGATGGTTCAGCAAATGAAATCAATAAACATGACACACCACATTAACAGAATGAAGAAAAAACATCATGATCATTTCACTAGATGCAGGAAAAGCATTTGACAAAACTTAACATCCTTTCATGCTAAAAACTCTCTCAACAGATTAGGTATAGAAGGAATGTGCCTCCACACACTAAAGTCCACATCTGAGCAATCCACAGTTAACACCACACTCAGCAGGCAAAAGCTGAAGCCTTTCCTCCCTTCTCTAAGATCTGAAACAAGACGATGCCCACGCTCACTATTTCTCTTCAATATAGTACCATAGGTCCCAGACAAACAATTAGCAAAAGGTGCCAAGAATATGCAATGGAAAGTGAATGGTCTCTTCAATAAATGGTGTTGGAAAAACTGGATATCCACATGCAAAAGAATGAAATTGGACCTTATCTCACATCGTATACAAAACCAACTCAAAATGGATTACAGACTTAAACACAAGACCTGAAACTGTAAAACTTCTATAATAAATCAGAGGTGAATAGACATTTCTCAAAAGAAGACATAAATGGCTAAGAGATACATGAAAAAAATGCTTAATCTCACTGGCCATTAGGGAGATAAATGGTAAAACCACTTGCAGGCCTGGTGGCTCACACCTGTAATCCCAGCACTTTCGGAGGCAGAGGCAGGCAGATCACCTGAGGTCAGGAGTTCAAGACCAGCCTGACCAACATGGAGAAACCCCGTCTCTACTAAAAAAACAAAATTAGCCAGGCGTGGTGGCACGTGCCTGTAATCCCAGCTACTCAGGAGGCTGAGGCAGGAGAATCCCTTGAACCCGGGAAGTGGAGGTTGCAGTAAGCCGAGATTGTGCCATTGCACTCCAGCCTGGGAAATGAGAGTGAAATTCTGTCTAAAAAAAAAAAAAAAAAAAAAAAAAAAGTAAAATTACAATGAGATCACCTCACACCTGTTAGGATGGCTATTACCAAAAAGACAAAAGACAATGATTGCTGGCAAGGATGGAGAGAAAAGAAAACCATAGCACACTGTTGGTGGGAATGTAAATGAATACCAGCATCATGGAAAAACTGCATTGAGGCTCCTCAAAAAACTAAAAATAGAACTACCATATGACCCAACAATCCCACTTCTGGGTATTTACCCAAAAGATTTGAAGTCTGTTTGTTGAGGAGATGTCTATACTCCCATGTTGACTGCAGCAGTTTTAACAATATCCAAGTTATGAAATCAACCTAAGATAAAGAGGACTGTGGAACATATGCACAACGCAATACTATTCAGCTTTTAAAAAGGAAGAAATTCTGTCATTTGCTCTAACATGAGTGGAACCAGAAACCATCATGCGAAGTGAAATAAGCCAGGCACAGAAAGCCAAACGCTGCGTGTTCTCACCTGTATGTGGAATCTAAAACAGTTTAACTCACAGAAGCATGGATAAGTAGCATGATGTTTACCAGAGGCTGGGGAATGGGGGGAATGGGAAGATGACAGTCATAGGGTACAAAGCCTCAACTAAATAGGAGGAGCAAATTTATTTTTAGACCAATAGCATGGCACGCTGAATATAGCTAATACTTGAGTACTATACATTTTAATAACTCTAAGAGTAAATGCCTAATGTTCTCATCACAAAAAAGTTAAATATTTGAAGTCATAAATATGTTAGTTTAATCCTTTCACATATTCAAAAATCATAACAGTAAATATATAGATATACAATTTGTCAATATACAATAAACAGAGAGAGAGAAAGAGGAAGGAAGGAAGGGGAGGAGGGAGGGATGAAGGAAGAAAGGAAGGAAATCAGAATGAAGTGGAAAAAACGAAGAGGACGCTACTGTGGTCTCATCCAGCTGCTCCCCTACCCACAGGGTAGAGTCTACACAGCCAAGAGGTCAGAGCCCCAGGGACCACACTCCAGCCATACTCCAGAGGGGTACCCAGGACTTGTCCAGGGATCTTGGGCCCTTCCTATGTGGACCTCTTCACCAGGTCTGTCCTCCTGGGGCAGATGGTGTCACCAAGTGTGCATCTCAGGATAGCCAAGGAGTGGGTGGAGCTTAGACATGAGGGGGGTGCCACAGCCAGGGGTGAGGCCCCTTGAGATGCAGAATGGAGCCAAGGAGGAAGAAGAGGATGTGGCAGCAAGTGGGTCTCCATCTCTTCTCTTGTCCTGGGCACACACACTGAGGGTCAAGTCTGGTTGCAGAGTGAGCTGGGGCTGAGAATTCCTCTCCTGCAGCCTGGGCTGAGCCCTACCACACATGCAGGAACACACAGGAAGACAGAGGAACCCTTACCTGCTTCCCCCCCATCTCAGGGTCCCGGCCCCGTCTCTTGTCCAAAACATCGTACTCCTCTCTTCGTCCTAGATTGAGCTCCTAAAAGAGAGAAGAAAGTGTCCGACACGGGGCAGAGGAGCCTCAGAAGGATGGGGCCAGCTGCACTGGGGAGTGTGGTTTCCCTCTCTGGGGTGGCTCACAAAAAAAGGGGCCGGGGCTGGGGAGGGAGTGGTAACAGGTTCATCTGGAGACCTCCATCGCGTCTCAGAGAACACGCGCTACCATGACGGTGGGTGGGATCCCCAAAGGTCACCAAGTACTATATGCTGATCAGTCCAACAGGATAAGGAACAACATTCCTGTGAGCAAGGAGAGAAGCTGGGGCTCAGAGTTGGTGGTCAGTTCCACCGGAGTCCCATTGCACAGGTAGTGTAACATCGCTTTCCCTTGCTGGGAAGATTCTAACACATTCCTTCTTCACTCACTCTAGCTTTTGCAAATTGCTGATGGCTTGGGGGCTCACTAGTGGCAGGCACTATACTAAGCTCCTTCCATGCATCAAGCTACTAAGCATGTTATCCTTATGGCGCCCTTTGAGACAGGCACAATTACTACCCCTGTTTTACAGGTTAGAAAACTGAGGTTAAACAAGTTGCATTCGGGTCAGAGGTGATAGCTGGGGACCAGACCTAAACCCGGGACTCTGCAGGGTGTGTTCCCTAGGTCTGAGAAGGGGACTGCCCTTCCTTTGCGGGAGGGTCTGCGGCGAGGCTCACTTACGTTATAGAGCTGGTTCTGGCCCTGCTGGTACACGGGGGCGTCTGCGCTCCTGCTGAACTGCGACACAGAGAGCAAAGCGCGTTACTGCTCCGCGAGGGCGCGCGGCAACCCGAGGGACAGCCCTACTCCGCTCCTTGGCAACAAAAAATTCTTGCCCTGCCTCCTGGGGCTGAGCCCTTGCAGGGGCCGCGGCGTGACAGCCCCTTTTTCTGAGCCCAACGTCCATTTTTCTCCCGCCTTTGACATGTGCCTCCATCACGCTGGCCCAGGACCCGCTGGAGTTTATTCTTCCCAAGCTAGCGCCCTCGCGCGTGCGCAGAGGTGTAAGGTTCTTGGTCTGTGCCCCCTGGGGACGTGGAGCATTTTCTAGGGTCCCTTCCTCCAGGAGCTCCGAGAACAATCAGGGTGGATGGCGGCTGCTCAAGGTCCGGCCTCCTATCTTGACCCCCGGGGCAGGATCACCACTCGCCCAGCCCTCTGCCATCGCCCGGCTACGCCGGTGCTCAGGAAGCCTTGGGCTCGCTTAGTGTCCTGAGCATCTGCTGGAAGCTGACACAGCCTCACTCTTGCTTCAGTTAATGCCGCCTCAGCCAGGAGAAACTGCAAAGTCTTACAGATCCAGAGCACTGGAAACGACCTAGAAATTACCTAGGGCAGCGTTTTCAAACTTAAGAAAGATTTGGTTTCAAATAAAATCTTATGCCCAAGTCCAAAATAAGCAAGAAATGGGTTGGGGAGCACCGCAGGGATGACTGGAACTAGATCCTCCCCCTTTACTCCTAAATTCTTCCACCCTCTGCCCACATAATGACCAGCCCCACCAAGAAATCCAGGGTCTGCAAGGCACCAAGTGAAAACCCATGCTCTGGCCCACTCTCCCAAGTACAGATGAGGAAAGAGCCTTCACAAGAGAAAGGCTAACATGGCCTTCATTCATACTTAGACAGCAGGATCTCTGCCTGAGTGTAAGCCTCTGTCTCCAGCAGTGTCGCCTTCTCCGAGACACTCTGAAGTGCACACATTTGTATGGTTCGTCATGGAGGCGCCTAGCACCAGGCTCTCCCTCCCACCCGGTTCATCTCAGCCAGACACCTCACCTCCTCCTCAGCCCATTCAAGGCACACACTTGGCTGGTCCCTGCTTTGCTCCTGGATACCAAGCTCCAGGCACCACCCAAGCTTGAAACTGTCCAAGACCAAGGACCCTCTGAATATCCATCAAGTGGGGGACCCTGTGCCCTCCTCCCAAAGCCCAGTGGTACCCACCTTCACTCTCAGGAACAGGGCAGTAACAATGACACCATAGATGAAGAGGATTCCATCCAGCAGGTAGCAGAGTTTGGGATCCAGCAGGCCGAAGCTCTGTGCCTCTGTATCAAGAGATAAAGCCAGTCAGCAAGGCCCAGGGTGACCAGAACACAACCCCATCACTCCAGGCTGGCACTAGGACTGACTGTGGCCAAAGAAATTATGACACAGAGACCAGATCCAATCCCCATGCCTCAGCCTGATCACCACTCCCTCCCTCCCACCTCAACCAGCTCCTGGAAAAGCCATTGGCACTAATGGCAGATGTGGCCACTGTGGGGCCAAAGAACCTGGGAAATGGGAGGATGGGAACAAAGTGGGAAGGTGAGGTTGTCGTCTGTGCACAGAGCTCCTGCCTCTGGGACATGGAAGCGCAGCCATGTTAACCCTGTGTGAACCAAGAACTCTGGAAGCCTTGGGAAGATGTTCACGTCTGGAAGAATGGAACTCCTGGCCTGAGATGTGTGGCTCCGAGGCCTACCCACAGGGAGACAATAGGTCAAATGATGGTCAAATGAGACCATTTCAATATCTAACAGTAACGAGGACAGGGAGAATCTGGGTTAACTCTCCCCACTCCCTGCCTCCTCAGTGCCAGGTACTCTCTCACCCAGGACAGTGGGGTCTGGTGCTCAGCTTCCCTTCCCTGTGCCCTGAAGGGTCTCATGGGCAACAGACAGAGGTAGCTTTGGTGCCTCTCCCCACCTAGGCGAGCATCTCCCTGCCCCCCAGTCCCAGCTCCATGGCCTCTGCCTTCTTGTCTCCCCTCCTCCCACTACACACGCCCCATTCCCAGGACATGCCCTGCTCTTCGGGACTATTTGCCTTGCACACACTGTTCCCTCTTCGTATTCCCTCCATCTCTCTCCCTGAAGCCCTGCTATTCAGTGACATTTGATGTACCCTACAAACTGCAGCTCAAAGGTCCGTTCTATGTTAGCCTCTCCCACAGCAAATTTCCAAGGGGTCCTGAACTCCTAGTGCCATGTTAACCTTTGTCAGGCTGCAGTCATGCATGTTTAGTGACCCCGCCATTGGAGTACAATGGGCTGGAGAACACGAGGTACAGTAAATACTCTGGTTAAATAAAAGTTTGCATTTTTAGACTGGGCGAAGTGGCTCATCCCTGTAATCCCAGTATTTTGGGAGGCTGAGGCAGGTGGATCACTTGAGGTCAGGAGTTCCAGTCCAGCCTGGCCAACATGGTGAAACCCCATCTCTACTAAAAATACAAAAATTAGCCAGGTGTGGTGGCGGGCACCTGTAATCCCAGCCACTCTGGAGCTGAGTCAGGAGAATCGCTGGAACTTGGGAGGCGGAGGTTGCCGTGAGCCAAGATCGCACCACTGCACTCCAGCCTGGGTGACAGAGACTGTCTCAAAGAAAAAAAAAGTGTTTTTATTTGAAACATCTCTGCACTGTGAATGAGGAGACCCGGATTTTAGTCTAGACCATACGTCCTACTAGGTAAACGTGCAGCACTCAACCTGTAAAACAGGGCATGGCCTCCACCTCACTCAACCCCTGCCTGGCAACTAGAGCAGAGGTCCCAGGCCAGCCCCTCCAGTGTCTGTCTCCCAAGACCGGGGTGCCCTCTGGTGGCCGTCAGACACAGATTAGGGCAGAGGGAGTAGAGGCCGTATGTGGGAGTGCTGTCATTCTTGCTAGCTGTGTGATTTGGGGCAGGTGATGTACCCTCTGTCAGCTGCCTCTCCTGTTAAACAGGGTGAAAACTAACATTTCTTCAGACACTGCAGTAAATGTAATCTTCGTCAGATCCTCCTGCCACCCACACTCGGACACTGAGGCACGGAGGCTTCAGGTTCAGAGCACACAGTGAGAGGCAGCGCAGGACTGATCCCTGGCAGTTCTTGTCCCCTTCCTGCCCCTGGGCCAGCCCCGCCTACCCCTTCCTGCCAGCAACGTTTTGGCCTCCCCGACGAGTCATGGAAGCAGATGATTCAAAGGCAGCCCCAGCACCTGCACCCCCACCACCCTGAGTCCTTCCATCCCCAAGTTTTTGACTTCAACCCTAATTCAGAACCCCTCTTGCCCCCAGGCAGCTGATCTCTGCAAACTTCCCAAAGACTCTGACCAGAGACCACTGATAACCCAGCCACTCGGAGGAGAGGCCAAACTCCTTGTCCAGCGTGTTAGGCTCTGCCGTCACCAGTCCAGGCCTGAGAAGACCACACCTTGATGCCACCCTGTCTCTCCTGCTCCTGCCTTTCACACCCCATTCTTCCTTGAACACATCCAGTTCTTCTACCCTCTTGCCTTCTGAGCAAGGTCCTCTTCCAGGTCTGCACTCTACCCCTCCACTCAACACCTGTTGAAATCAGACTGTCCCACCACCTGAGCCCTGGAGGAAAACATGAGCGGATGTCTGTTCAAGAGCCTGTATCCCTCAAAGCACTCTACAAACGTAACTTATGGGACTCAGATGCCCTCCATCCAGGCTGTAAGCACCCGAGACCAATGGCTGCCTCTTCCTCCAGCCCCTGCATCAGAGCACAGGGCAGTCACTCAATATCATAGAACTTTTCAGAGCTGGGCTTCAGCGATGGGGAAGATGCTGGGCCCAGCCCAGATGTGCCTGCCCTCTGGCCCCAAGGCAGTGCTGGCAGCCCTCACTGACCTAGGGAGCATCTAAAGGCCTCTGGGGGACAAGCCAGTCCCCATGAAGGCTACCAAATCTGGGGTGACTTTTTGCTGTTAGGGCTGCAGAGGAGCTAACAGTGGCGATTTATGGGACTGGTTGAGACTCAGGGAAAAAAAAGCCAGGAGAAAATCACTCAGCTGCTTGTCACAGAAAATTAGAACAGAAAAATTACTGGGCAGTAAATTTACCACAAATAAATACTTCTTTGTGTTGTGCTGACTCAGCACAGTACCAGGGCAGGGGAATTTGTGTTGTGCTGACTCAGCACGGTATGGGGCAGGGGGATTGGGCACCTCCCTGAGATAAGTAATGTAAACAAGTTCCCTCTTTCCCTCCCTCCCTCCCTCCTTCCTTCCTTCAGCATAGTGTTATGACTGATGACAAACGTGCTGTGTGTGGTTGGGAGAACAGGATACTGACCGCAACATAATTCCCTGTGTAGGACCCTCCCTCTCCTCAGTCCCACTGTGTCTGTGCTGGGAGAGATGGGCCTGAAGACGACAGTCATGGCCCAGAAAGCTCCGTGCAGGGATGCAGGACCTGATTCCGTTATGCAATTAACTATTCATTGGGCATCTGCTCTGTGCCCAGAACTATTGAAATGGAACGAACTCTGGATTGGGTACAGGTGGGTTTGAGTTCTTCCCCTGCCACTTACTAGCTGTGTGGTCTTGCACTACTGACTTCCCTCCCTGGGCCTCAGTTTCTTCATCTATAAAATGGAGGGTAATCATATCTACCTTAAGGGTTATGATGAGAATCAAAAGAAAATGATGTCTGATATTTGGGTCGAGTCTGAGTCCCTGCGCTCACGGGGCTTAAGGCTGAGCTCTGGAGGCCACACATAAGGCGTAGGGGCTTCCTGGACCACGGACAGTTTTGCAGGATGCCAGCTCACAGGCACCACATCGCTACTGTCTCCTTGTCCTGGCGTCTTCCCTGTGTCCGCTCCTGCACCTTCATATTTCTACCAATTCCATCCCAAAGGGACCAACAGCTGCTTCCTCGGAGGTTTCAGGGCATTATATAGTAGCTACTTTCCTGTACAAGTGGGGAAGCTGTTTTATTTCATGTTCCTGATCCCTGCCCCAGATTCACAGCACCCAGGAGAACCTCAGCATTTGACAGGAGCCCCAGAGACTGACAGAGGTTTCTCACACAGACTCTCAATCCACTGCCCTCAGGCTCTGGCCTAAGCGGCCTGGAGTGGAACCTGGGCATGGGGACTTCATTGCGTCGCCATGAATGGGTTGAGATTCAGAGCTAAATCATTACAGGGGCCAGAGCACGTGAGGGAAGCCTGGCCTTTCATAGAGATACAGCTGTGGCCTACAATAAATGTAAATGTAAATTTCTGTCAAACAGAAGAAACAAAGTTAAAGCTTTGATCCTTTTTACATACTGTACATCTGAACTGTATGGTAGAACTCTCTTAAGCCTTGGTTTTCTCATCTGTAAAATGGGGGTAACAATAATATCTGTCTCACTAGATGGAGGTGAGTATTAAATACTTTTTTTTTTTTTTTCTGTCACCCAGGCAGAGTGCACTGGTGCAATCTCAGCTCACTGCAACCTCTACCTCCTGGGTTCAAGTGATTCTCCTGCCTCAGCCCCCTGAGTAGTTGAGATTACAGGCACCCACCACCACACCCAGCTAATTTTTCTATTTTTAGTAGAGATAGGGTTTTGCCATGTTGGCCAGGCTGGTCTTGAACTCCTGACCTCAAGTGAGCTACCCACCTCGGCCTCCCAAAGTTCTGGGATTACAGGTGTGAGCCACCGTGCCTGGCCAAATACCATACTTCTTATGAGGTGAGAATCAAATAAAATAATTATTATGGGGTGAAGGACCCTTTAAGAGTATGTGTTCCATTATGCCACCTATTGTTATTGCCATGATTTCTACTGTAAGCCCATGCACAATAAGCTGGAGCCTGCCTGCCCTGTAGCAGGATACCAGGAATAGGCCAAGTGAGACACCCAGAGGCTCGGGGGCAGCCAGAGATGATCACAGAGTATCTAAGCATGTGGGTCATTGTATCTAAGTGTTATGTGTCTAATTAGTCACAGTGAGCCTCGCCATCCCTATATAGCCTTTTGTCATCTCCATAAAAGCCTTGAGTTCAGGAAGTCTCATGGCACTGACCATTAACAGGAAGATTCTGGGGCCCCAGAGGGCACCCTGGGGGAGGCACACCTGTCCTTTCAGAATTTTGTTTCTCTGGGTGAGATTTATTTGAATTGTGTTGTTTGTCTGTTTCTGAGCCAGACTGTGAACTTCTGGTAACAGGGATCAGGCCTTAATCAACCTGGTCCTGCCATACCCTGAGGCTGCAGATACGCGCTGGTGGCCTCTTCCCCTCCAGCAAATCCTGTTGTGGGACTCCCTCACATCCAACT